GTTAAGGAAAAATTACCTCTATAAGTAACTAACCTAACCTACCAGTATATTAGAATAGATATATTGAACTAGAATATTATGAGATTTTATACAATATTGATGAGGGTCTGTACAGTATTTTTGCGTGAAATGTATCATATATGATCATCTATTATTTCCAATCATCATTTTTATTGGGCAAAAGACAAAATATACTCTTTACAGCAAATTTGACAAATCATAAAATAAATAGTTTTTTAATATATTTAAACATATTTTGACTTTTAAGATTTCCAATTTGCTCACTTAATTAATGTAAGAATTAATTTCAATGTTTTTTTTAGACTGTTGCTTATTGGAGTATCTTGATTGGTAATCGTTACCCCTAAGAATTTTATGTTTGAAGAAAATCATGCAAAGAATGACTTAAGTATCCACAGAATATGTAATAGAGATCTCATCTGACAGATAGTATGTTATTACCAAGGAAACTTTTAAGTTTTCGAGTTATCTACAAATTAAAAGCAATACTGGTCAATAAAGAGATCTTCATAAAGCTAATTTAAATCATATCATGATTTCATTATTTATCATGGTTAATCAATATAAATATGTTAAAGACGCAACACCTGGTAATTATAAACATCTCTATAAATAACACCATCATACAACTTACACCTCATATAAACTTTCTTTTTAAATAATAAATGTAATGTCATACAGAAATGATAATGTCAAGTAGATCTTATATATTACAATGGTGATTATAATCAAAAAATGGTGAGTGGGTAATCAGAAAATAGGTATTCGAAAATGGTGAATGCATGACCAAAAATTCAAATGATGTCATAAAAAATCATTCAGTGAAAATCCATTTGTTTTAAATCCTATCAGGCAACAGGCCTAAGGGTAGTTTCTTTGAAAAAGTCATACCTTTGCACATTATAGACATTTTTTCTTCTTCATCAGGAATTCATTTTTGTAAGAATAACAAATTGGATTGCTGAAATTTAACAAAAATAATACATAGTTGAGATGATAAGTACCTGGAGAAAATATTTTTGATCTTAAACCATGCTATGTTTTGAGTTTTACAATGCATATTTTCTGATATTGCAATACTATGAATTTTATTAAATTTGAAAAAATCACAATATCTTTATTCTGTACAGTAAATCACAAAATTTCTGAAATTTCAATAAAAATTACAAGATCTCTATAAGAACAGCAACAAATATATTTAATCTTTGACCTTTACTGATGACTAATCTACCTCCTTAATAGATTTATGCACATACCAAAATCAAATATGTGAATAAAGTAAAAGAGTTCACTGTCATGAAGAAGGATAAAGAAATGGCAAAATAACGCTACCGTCTAAAAACAAATTTCAGTAGTCATAGATACGAATTCTAAATGACATATGTTTTAAGCTTTACTTTATACACTGATTTACTAAAATTTCGTATGTATTCGCTGTAGCATGATACCTCTCAAATCTTCATTGTCGTTCTTGCTCATTATAAATAATGATTGCCCTGAATGGGTTTTGAATCACCTCCAGTAATACTTTGGCTAAACATAGCCTGTTGCTTTATTTAACCACTTTGCCACTTTTCCAAGCTTAACTGACACAAAGTGTTCAACGCCCTTAGTTCTTTTGTAACCTGTATTGTTTCAGGTACACGCAGCTGATAGATTTTACATACCAATTATTTCTTTGTAACATCATAAGGCCATATGCCCTAAATTGCATCACTTCGTATATATGCCCTGGGCAAGGCAAAATTATAAAGGGGCTATTTATTTGAACAAACTTGTAGACACCCATTACAGTATGTTTGATGATAAATTATCTAACTCTAACTCTTTGGGTTTTTATAGAAGACTTTTAAGTTTTTATACTAAATTAACAATATACGGGAAAAACAATGCACCCACATCGAGTATTTATGCTGTATCTAAACTTAGCTCTTTGATTTTTTATAGTATAAGATTTTAAGTTTTTTCTATATACATATATAAAGGAAAATCAATACCCCCCCGGGTGGGGCAATTTTAACACAAGTTATCTTGAAAAACTTGTAGACACGCACTATAGATAGATATCTGCTATTTCTTAGTCTAGAATATTTTGGTTTTTTGAAAGATGGATTTTTTAAGTTTTTAACTATATACGAATTACATAAAGGGAAATCAATGACCTGGGCGTGGGGCAATTATTACCGACACAACTTATTGAAACAATCTGTGTAGACACCATAAGAATGTGTATCTTATATAAGCTCTTTGCTATTTGGGTTTTATAAAGAAATCTTTTAAGTTTTTACTACAGTCTACTTGCCCATCTCGACCACGTTTATAAGCGACTTTTGTCTTAAACGACATTTGAATTCCCCAGATCATATGTTTTTTTTTTTCTCTAATATCTTAATGTATTAAGCGACTTTTGCTCAACGGAAGCGACGCTAATTGTCCTAATTGACACAATCTTCATTAACGACACTTTTTACCTGTCAAGTAATTCGTGTTTTAGAGAACGCCACATCGTTATTAATATTCAGCAATCAAAACAACAATAGACGTTGAAAACTCTTTCAACTTTGCAGTACCAATGAAGTTAAGTATAACGCGTGACGTGTATTTATTCAATAATATTCGAATAACATGCACGCTCGCATATAGAGATGGTGTATCACGCTTCGCTTGTATGACATATTAGATGCATTGAATTGACTTGAACTTGATCAGCATTAAATATCGTAACAAATACTGTTAGTTTGTGTTTACTTATTAATGAAAAAAATGCACAACAGAAAACATATTCATAATAGTATTTCCGTGTTGGAGACAAGGGAAAAACAACGGAGAAGTTAAAAAATTCGGAAAAAAATGTCAAACATGTAGTAATGATCAAAACTGTTTTTTGTCAATAATATCAGAACGTTATTTTTACTATATGCATCCGTTTAGATTATCGTGAGGCGTACTTATATTAAACATTTATATAAAAAATGAAGTTGAAAAACAATCCCATCGAATAAAAAAGACTGTATTTATAAAGTTTGACTTTTATATCATGCTGACTGTCTTAAGAGACCGTTCCATTAGCGACCGTCTTTTGGTGTTTTCCTTGCCCTACCGGTCCGCTTAATACACGTTTGAACTGTTATATACAAATAAGGAAAATTAATGACCCCCAGGGCGGGCAATTTTGACCCCAGGGCATTTATCTTGAACAAATTGGATAAGACACCTAGAATATGTTATGGCCAAATATTTAAGCTCTAGTCTTTCGTTTTCTAATAAGAAGATATTAAAGCTTTTCATTTGTTGTATGCAAAAAGTTCTGATTCTGAATACAATCTTTGACAATTTTAAAATTTGACAAACCAAAGAACATCCTGTGAAGTTTTGATGAAATTTGCTAGTGGATTATGAGAGATGTTGTTTATTAAAATTTAGGCGAAGAACATACGAAAAGCGACACAAACTAACATTAGTCACTTAATTTGAAGAAGCAAAATATTGAAGTAATGATACCGTTGTCTATCCTGCTGAGACTAACGATTTGTTTCTTGACTTCAAGCATCTAGCCGTTCCATCATCAAAACAAACTGTCTTTTATATTATACATAATAATATTGAATCTATAATATATTAGACATTGAATTGATAACAAAAAAAATATAAAAATTAAAATTTCATGAAACAGTAATCTGTAATTGTAGCAAAGAATACCTGTAACTGCCTAATCTTTATATATAAATTACATGATATTGGCACTAAAATAATTCCTAAAACGATATTTTCATTTTACATTGGGACCTTTATAATCAAAATTAACTTAACAATATTCAGGGTTGATGCAGTAGGAGAAAAATTCTGGGCAATAAATTTGTGGTTCTTTTTTGTAATGAAAATATGCTCATTTAATATTTTTAGATTGTGTTGTTTTTCTTTATATTTAAACAAACTGTTGTTTTTCTTTATATTTAAACGAATTATCTTTTTTTTTCAATTTGGAATTTTTTTACTCTGAACACTGCACCCGGGGCATAGATAGACAATTCTGACTTCAGTATGGCTTAACCCTACAATCATTGTGCATTGAACTAAGTTGGTTTTATACTTACATTTGCTTGATGAGGACATCGAAAGTTATTCCTAATAATTGCAGTGAGTGAGGCCCATCACCCGGATGCGAACATTTACAATTTCTTATAAGGAGATTTGTAGTTTATAAGTCATAGTCGGCTTATTCTACATGTGGACATGTAAGAAACATATATAGACATGATCAACCTAACTTGCTTTTATGTTAATGAAAGACAGTTACAAGTTCATCGAGACTGATTCACAGTTTTTTCCAAAGCTCAAAAATTGATTAAAAGCTTGACCTTTGACCTATGAGTTTTATTAATGATTTCAACAACAAATTAAGATTTAAATCATTATAAGAATTAAGTCTACTAATCACACTATAGGTTGACTAGATTAACAGATTGAACAAACACAGATTATGAAGGCTTGCTGGCCTGTTTACTGTTGTCATCAGTATAGATCGACTTTGTTCAGTTGGCAAAAACATTTATTTTATTGCCAGCTTATATAAACAGATGCTGTATTAGGAGAGTGTAATTATAAGAAATATTCTTGGTATAATAAATATCCAGTTATAAAGTAACTTAATTTAATGAGATGTTATGGGTAAGCATTACTTTTCTCTAAGTTTCAAAACTTCTCCCTATTTTTCCTGAAGGGAGAAGTCACTTAACCCTAAATTTTCTGTCCAAGGTAGTTTTACCATGCTATAATTTGTACAATGAAACTGTCCGGAGGAACTTTAACATCACAATGCTAAAATGCACAATGCTAAAATTATATAGTTGTGCAGTCTATCAATACTTTATAATCTTAAACTTCTTTTTTCATACTAATATCCCTGTAACAACAAGTGGACCATTCCAAATCAAAACTGGACAAGTCTAATAAGTAATATATTTTAGTGTTATAATGTTTCATACAAACCTATGTTTTTCCAGGCAAAGACAGATCTGTTCATCATATTTGTACTGGTGAGCATTTGGGTTTGTGAACACTGTACTAAGCTTTGGTCCTAGATTCTCTTCACCTGCAGGGTAAAACATAAATGATTTCTGAATTAAATGAAAAACAAAATGAGCCGTGTGACAACAAAACCAACATAATGCGTTTGCGACCAGCATGAATCCAGACCAGCCTGCGAATCGCGCAGTCTGATCATGATCCATGCTGTTAGCTTACCAACTCTATTACAAGTAGAGAAACTGATAGCGAACAGCATGGATCCTGATCAGACTCAAGGATGCGCAAGCTGGTCTGGTTCCATGCTGGTCGCAAACCCATTATGTTGGTTTTGTCGTGACGCGGCTAAAATATCAAATGTTTAATCTTATCAATTACAACTAGACTTAGAAACATATAGATAATTAACATCCAAAGCAATATACTGAGTAAAAGTATTTTTATGAGGCATGATATTTTTGCTGTTTCTTACAAACCTATGAATTATTTACATTGTACATGTATTTTATTGGCCTAAATCATTTTGAAGTGGAATCTTTCTCCTGTAAATTTAAATTCATCTTTCAGCTTTTTGCCATAGATTTGACAATGCTAATGCACATCTCAAGATGAGCCAAACTAAAAAAATAAATAATCAAAATTAAGACAACTTTTAGAAAAGTAAAATGATTCAATGACCATGTTATGTGTGATTTAGGACTAATCTGGCAGTTAATTTATTACCCATGACAAATACTTCATTACGACACTGTTTTTATACATTTTTATTTTTCAGATTTTTACTATGAAAAAGTACTGTAACAAAATGTTTAATCAGGTGGTACACTTGAATTAACAGTAAGGTTAACTCCCATTGGTCTATGGGATATTATATAAGAAAAAAGTGAGAGGAAATAAGATGCTTTGTTAAGATTTAACTATATTTTGCCCGTGATTAATATATGGTCATTAAATGTTCTAAACAATGGACAAAAAGCAACAACAGATATTAAAATTTTGTCTTTCTTTTTCTTACTATTTTTCAGGTTTAGTTTTTATCATCAACAGACACTTTAAAATCATATGAAACTTGAAGATGCAATGTTATTGTGGAAGAGACTTCAATATCTTCAGAATATTTCAATGTCAATGACTGTCCACACTAAAGATCATTCTTCTACACATATTTTAGGTAGGTATTCATGTCACGCCACACAGTAAAGATATATGTCAAATTTTCCAATTTACTTTGAGAAGACATTAGTCTTCTGTTGCATTATTGTCAGGCAAAACGAGCACCCAGATAGAACACCAATGTTCGTATATGATTATAGAATAAGCTTTTCTTCACATGAAAAGACTCCATCTGGTGGTATCCCCCTACGAATGAAGCTTTCCCATCTGGCACGGCGCCCTTACTTACATGTTGATAATTATTTACAACAAAAGATGTCTATGAACAACTGTGAGCTTCTCACATGAAAATTAAATTCTTTAGACGATTATTTGTAGTTTACTTGTTCTAATACATAATAAATTAATAATATACTCTTTTGATGTAAGAATAATACAATGATTTTGCAATTATCAATAAATATCAAGACTTTCTACACAGACAAATCAATAATCTGTAGGAAAGTACCTTTCTGAAATGTTCATACTCTGAATATTTAAATATCACTATTATGAGAAGAATAAATATACCTTTATCAAATATCATAGATACATAACAGAGTGTATAGTCTACAGAGTATAAGGTATATTCCTGATAATTAAGTGGCAAATTAGCAAATTGTTGACATAAGATGTCATAAAATTATGGAGAATCTTACTTGAACTTCTTGATGATAATATGTAATCACAACTTGAGCATTGCTCTTGTATCCTTTCATATTTAACATTCTCAGATTAAGACTTTGCCACAGTAATAAACAAGCTACCTGATAAAATTCTGGGAGAACATCACTGGAAGGTCTATATATTTCTTGTAGTCAATTTTGTATTTTTGAAACTGTAATAGGATTGTTCCATATTCAAGCTGGCAACCATTATGTAAATTACGGCAGGTATGATTAAGGGTTAAATACATGCGAAACATGTATATTTCTCACAATAAATCCAGTCACAAGTCCTTATTCCTGATAAAATTATGACTGGAACAGATTTCTGTGCCATTGCCTTGCGAACAGAAGACCTAAAATTGATAGGGTTATTATAATGCAGGACATGTTTCTAACTGTAATATATAAAACTGCTTAATTTTTTTTAATAAGTCAATCAGGGAACTTTGTTACATTAATGTTTTGTGACTTAGGACTTTAACCCTATCGCCATTAAAAATCATGAAGTTATTTGATCACAGAAAACGGATGATTGTGCAGCCAAAATTAAATAACAGAACATTTCTTTCTTTTGTTAACTGAGGGCCATTGGCTTGTTATTCTAATGTTATGAAATAACCAATATTGTTCTCTTTTATTATGTTTACAGTTTGTCCAACAATTTTGGGAAAATGTTATAGAAACAATATCTAATAATAATCAAACCTTCTCTTTTCTTCTTGATAAGCATGCCCCTAGATTTATAGAACTCTTCTCTTCTTTCTTCCTCATCTGAAAATGAAAATTTTCCTCTGAAAATATACAGTATAACAGCAAAATCTTCTTCTGAACATTTACTGCAACAACAAAATTTTCTACTGTCATCAAATCTTTTATTACAATTTACATGTTACCTTTTTGCATAAATAGCGGAAATATAGGCTTTTTCCCAAATGACAAATCTTTTGAAAATTCACAATTAAATCTTTATGATTACCCATTATTATGAAGATTTTCATAAATCAACCCAGCTTTATAGGTAAATATGAATTTTTATGAAATATACTGTTTCTATATTTAGTTATATAATTGTATGTACATGTAAACAAATTAAAATACTAAACATTTTAATAGGTTTTCTAAATTTTCCTTCTTTCCATGTATACTACTATAACACAATACAATTTCACAAAGCATGGCTTGTATTAAAAAGTTCTATTGTTTTTGATACATAAAAAATCTAATATATGTACAAAATATTCCTTGCACTTGAAAAATAAAATCACATTACCCATACCCTTACATCAGATGTTACTTTAATATGAATTTTCGATTTAGGTTGTAACTTATTTTCATAATTTGGGGAAAACATTCTAAAAAGTTGCACTCAGAAACAAGTTTCAAGTTTTATTGAATATATATCCCAGTAATACAAAAACATGAGACAACAGAAACTGATTTAATGTTTAAAGGCTCATTATTCCTAAGAAATGCTTTTATTTTTATTCCTCAAAATTATTTTGTTTTTAGTATTTCCAAAATGTAATTCATCGATCAATTACCTTAATCATATTTTGCATCTATTGGTTTCTCGGAGTAAATACAGTTATAGTTATGGAAGTCAAAATACTACTTTGATTACATTCTGTTACTTTTATGACAAATAATTTCACATTGAACACTTCTTTCTTCAGGTAATGAACATCTAACATCTTCTAAAGCCATTATTTAAACATTTTAAAACTCATTTTTCCCTTTCTAAATGAGGATTTTTTTTCTGAGGCATAATGTGCCTTTAACTTTTAGGCATAATATACATGTATACTAACTTTGATTACGGTATACTTCCTCTCAAATAAACCAGGAACCAGTTTATACACTATAACCTGTAAGGTTTTATCAGCACATTATACTTACTCTCAAATAAACCGGGAACAAATTTATACATTATATCCTGTAAGGTTTTGTCAGAACATTATACTTCCTCTCAAACAAGAGCCGGTTGAACTGGGTGATGCTCGCCGAATAGGTTTTGAACACAGGAAGGTATACCTCTTGTTGTGTCAGAGTTATGCCACAGACAAAGTTCAAAGTGTAAAAACAACCCAAATATTATGCACAACACATTGTCTCAATATGGTGATCATTTTTGTGAAATAGTTGTAAAATCCCACTTCAAATAACGAAGCAATGCGCCAGACATGATTTTACTGCAAGGTCATGCTGTGACCTTGACCTTCAAGGTAGGGACCCAAATGTTGCATGCGGCACGTCAATTCAATATGGTGATCATCTCTGTGAAATAGTTGTTAAATCTGACTTCCAGTAACAAAGTTATGGGCCGGACACGATTTTGCTGTTAGGTCATGCCGTGACCTTGACCTTCAAGGTAGCGACCCAAATGTTGCGCATGACACAATGTCTCATTGTGGTGATCATTTCTGTGAAATAGTTGTAAAATCCGACTTCAAATAATGAAGTTATGTGCCGGACACGATTTTGCTGCAAGGTCATGCTGTGACCTTGACCTTCAAGGCAGCGACCCAAATGTTGTGCGTGACACGTCATCTTAATATGATGATCATTTCTGTGAAATACTTTTTGAATCCAACTTCAAATAACGAAGTTATGGGCCGGAAACGATTTTGCTGCAAGGTCATGCTGTGACCTTGACCTTTAAGGAAGTGACCAAGATGTTGCGCGCGACACATCATCTCATTATGGTGATCATTTCTGTGAAATAATTTTCAAATCCGACTTCAAATAATGAAGTTATGGATCGGACATGATTTTGCTGCAAGGTTATGCTGTGACCTTGACCTTCAAGGAAGCGACCCAGATGTTGCGTTCAACACATCGTCTCAGTATGGTGATCATTTCTGTGAAATATTTTAAAAATCCGACTTCAAATAACAATTTTATGGACCTGACACGATTTTGCTGCAAGGTCATGCTGTGACCTTGATCTTCAAGGTAGTGACCCAAATGTTGCGCGCGACACGTCGTCTCAATATGGTGATCATTTCTGTGAAAAAGTTTTAAAATCTGACTTCAAATAACAAAGTTATGGGCCGGACACGATTTTGCTGCAAGGTCATGCTGTGACCTTGACCTTTAAGGTAGCGACCCAAATATTGCGCGCGCCACGTCGTCTCAATATGGTGATCATTTCTGAGAAATAGTTTTAAAATCTGACTTCAAATAACAAAGTTATGGGCCGGACACGAATTCGGGACTTACGTACGTACGGACGGACGGACAACCCGAAGACTATATGCTCCCCCGAAATTTTTTGGGGAGCATAATAAACCAGGAACCAGTTTATACACTATATCCTGTAAGGTTTTATCAGCTTATTATACTTACTCTCAAATAAACCGGGAACCAATTTATACACTATATCCTGTAAGGTTCTGTCAGCACATTATACTTACTCTCAAATAAACCAGGAACCAGTTTATACACTATATCCTGTAAGGTTTAATCAGCACATTATACTTACTCTCAAATAAACTGGGAACCAATTTATACACTATATCCTGTAAGGTTCTGTCAGCACATTATACTTTATTACTTACTCTCAAATAAACTGGGAACCAGTTTACATACTATATCCTGTAAGGTTCTATAAGCACACTATACTTACTCTCAAATAAACTGGGAACCAACTTATACACTATATGTATCCTGTAAGGTTCTGTCAGCACATTATACTTACTCTCAAATAAACCAGGAACCAGTTTATACACTATATCCTGTAAGGTTCTATCAGCACATTACACTTACTCTCAAATAAACCAGGAACCAGTTTATACACTATATCCTGTAAGGTTCTATCCGCACGTAGATTGAGCAGGGGTTGTGTTTCATGTACTTTGATATTACATGTTGGACAGTGTTTACTCACTTGTAAATGCTTCACAATACACTTTTTACAAACTGTAAAATAATATATTAATTTATAAAAGTTTATTACAGGATAAGACAAAGAGTATTAAATATAAATGTCCATGGATGTCAATGTCCATGGACAGAGCAGGAAAGTTACTGCCTTAAACAGGGCTTCCGTTAATGGAAGTTTGGGAGTCATTTACTCCTTGAATTTGGCTTGTGACTTCCAAAATCTAATACTTTTCCTTCTTTACCTATATATAATGTGATTTCCAATGTCAGAGATTTTGCAGTCTCTGACTTCCAAATTCTGAAACTTAATGGAAGCCCTTTCTTAAACCTATAATATCTATATGGAATTCAATCTTTCAATCTAAGCACCATTTGTACTTAAATTTTTAAAATATGTACAGAATGAATAGCCAACAATGCAGACCATGATCACATGTGACAGATAGTCACATGGGTAACTATGTATGGTTATAGAAGCACATAACCGAGGTGAAAAATTTCACATCATCACTTCACTTAATAAAACATATTTTTTACTGTGAGAAAATTGCACTATAAAAAGGTTATAGAGACTAATGTAAATATATTTTACATAATTTTTTAAACATAGAATAAAAACTAATTATCAGAACATTTATAATCACATGTGCCATCAACTTCTGTATTCTGCTTTTATTCACATTGTTATAGTAAAACTGTAAGTGTTCATGCAATCATTTCTACTCACATGTATGAAGGCATTCCACAATGCTTGTTGCATCAATAAAATAACCAAAGCATAATGAACATATGATGTGAGGATTCACGTCATTGATTCGTATAATGATATCCTGTAAAGGAAAAAATTAAACAACGGTTACTTATCTTAACTATCGGGAAAAAGGGAAACTATAAAAAGTGTTGGAGCACCACATTAATTTCCACATTGCTGTACATGTACAATACCAGACAAGGCATTGAATGATTTTATTTAATGCTAAAATCTCCCCTTTTCACCCATTAAAATGTGCTTGAAGATCATTTTTTAACTACGATTTATATATGAAAATAAACACAAATGCAAGAATATAGGCAAAAAAGCAATATTTTGCTACTTTATGATCAGGATTTCTGCAAAGGTCTAGAGGTATTGTTCCCAATAGGTCTTTGTATTGTCAGGGTACAGGCCAAAGGATACCATTCACGATACAGAGGAGCAATAGGCCAACCTGTTTGCGATACAACAGTAAATGCCTGAATGGTTAAATATTTAGAATGTTTTATGTCAAATTATCATCTTACATAAGACTAATAATCCAGCAAATTCAAATACATAGCAGAACACATTTACTAGGGATACTTTGAAACTAATTATTACACTACATTAAAAGTGAACATTTAATTTATAGATTCTATTCTATAAATGATTCTTACAATATAAACATTTACATTAAAGTCTTATTTTGAACATATAAATACTTGAATTTAATTCAATTCATTGAATTAAATCTTCATTGCATTTATTAACTAATGTCATTACAAAGAAGCGTAATGATTATTTCATTTTTCAGTAACTTTCTTGTATTGAATTTAAAGGAAGCGGAACTTCTACATTGTAGTTGCTAGCTTTACCTTGGAGTGTTTATTTTCAGATATGTAACATGTTTCAGATATGCCAAGATAATACCCTTATCATTTTAAAAAGATATGTTTTACAAGCTTAAATTAATAATATAGGATGAAAAGCAGTGTTAGACCTACATGTATATCAGAATTTCTTGTTCAGTTATGATTCCAAAAAATTGTGAATCTGGCAATACAAAGGCACCCGAATATTCGTGTCCGAAATTCATGACAAATTTGCCATGTAAAGAGAGTTAGGACGTTCATTACAGCCTTAGTTCCCACACTATAGTACAAGTTAGGCAAATGATGTTGTGAATTCACTAATTGACCAAGATGTTGTGTTTCAAATTTTTAACAGTTTGAAAAATATGATGTCTGACTATAAAAGGTTAGAAAAAATGAATTGGGTAGGGTCGAGGTTAGCATTTATTAAAGCCTACTTAGCCTAGTATTACAACTTGCAATACTACATAAAATATTGATAGGACTTATTTATCTGGGCAGTTTCATACCTAACACCGTTTTGAAAATTATTTAAGAATAATTAGAGGAAAGTTTGAATAGAAAAAGACAAAACTTACCTCCTCTATACCAACAGGATACAAAGACAAATTTGAGGTCATTTTAAAGCATGATCAATTCTTACAAAGAGCGTGTCATGACAAAAAATATAAAATCTTTCCTCCCGGAAGTTTTGGTTCAACCGGTGCACATGTAAACAAATCCCCGGTCTCGAATTTACCGATTTGCAGGTTACTAATTAAGGGCATGTTTTCCGTTATAAGATCGAGTTTGATAAGGTCTGGAAAGCAGTTTAAACCTGTGTCATATATTGCTAGTAACTTTCACACAACTGTCATCACGCAATATCCGCCGGCAGAGAGCAAAAACATGCCAAAAGTTGCAGTGGTGGGTAATTCGTCCTCACACACAATCGTACTTTTTTATTACGATGTTTTGAAATAGTTTATCATATGTTAAAGTTGTTCAGTGTTAAATGAATTTTCAACATTAAATAGATTTCTAAAAATTTCATTTGAAATTTGCAGACGATTCATTTGAACTATACAGGTACCTTGTTGGGTTTTACATCGCACCAACATTGACATAGTATAGGTTATATGGTGACTTCCCAGCTGGGTGCATAGAAAAACCGGAAAGCACCGGATAGCACCGAAAAACCGGAAAGCACTCAAATTTCTCATAAAAACATATGAGAATGTTAATTAATCGGTTTGAAAGTGTTACCAATTGAGAAATTTGAGTGCTTTCCGGTATTTCGGTGCTATCCGGTGCTTTCCGGTTTTTCTATGCACCGTTCCAAGCTTTATTGGTGGAGAAAGACCACAGTATTTAGCATTCTTAGTTAGTCTTTTATCAGATTTTGCTCATATTAATTTGGTGATCCCTTTGATAGGGATTAATTTGGTGATCCTAAAATTTTCCAATTTGGGAAAAAAGTTAATTACAGTGAAATTTGCCAATTTTGGAAAATATGCTAGCATGCAAGGTGTTACAATTATTAAATAGATCTAAATATGTCTCACTTAAACTGTCATATAAAAAATACAAGAACAAGCTAAAATGTGTACAAATGTAAAACTGATATCAATTAAAAATCCTAATTTTATTCACAAAACATGAATATAAAATTCCATAACGCTATTTCGCGACACAAAAATTGAAAAAATGCGGTTCTTTTTCTTTCAAATTGCCCACTTTTAGATTGGGAATATGGATTGGGGAAAAAAAATATTTTGGATGGGGAATGGGGCCCATATTCAGACCCGTGGGATAGGCCTGTACTAAAATGCCTACCCTGACTACACCCTGATTTGACATGGGATCAGAAATTTATTTCCAGCCAGGTTTTTTAAGCTATTCAGTTGACTATAGAGAAGACAGAAATCTATTTTTAGATTTTGTAGTATACAATATATAGTGTTTTCAGGGTGGATTCAACGAAATATTTAAATGAGCCAGAAAAAATACCACCCTGAAATGGAAATCCAGGACAGAATTTTCACTCACACAGATTTCTATAAATAGATTTACTTCTAGTTAAATTAAGAGCAATTTCAGGGTGGGATTAATTTGAAATATTTAAATGAGCCATAATTCACCCTGATTTCTGTTTAAAAAGTCAGGCTAGACTTTTTTCCTCCTGTTATTATCCCGCCCCAAAATTTTGCAAATCCCACCCTGAAATTGAAATAAAAATCCACCCAGATTCTTGTTCTTTTTGATAATTGACAAAATAAAAATTGAGACTTTTTTTCACTTATCTGTATTTGATTTTCATACAATTAAATACATTTCAAAAGTCATTCTTGTTTGATATTTCCACTAGGTAGCTGCACACTGTATTACGTAATTCCACATTATAGTCTCTGGACTACACAATCTGTAAACATATGAAAGCAGTGTAGGAATATGCTATAGTCAACTTTCAATCTATATATTAATCTAAAAGAAATGTAACACCTTAATATAGAGAAATATGTCCATACAATATAGTTTTAAAGGTATAATATTTCATTAATTGCAATCAAAACATCAAAAGAACAAAATGATTGATGAAATTATTTTAAAGAAGCTACAGCATTATAAACATATATGTACTGACTTCATGAAGTCATTAATTCCATAAAATTTACAGGAATGAATACTTTTAATAATTAAAACTGAAACTAATTTTGATAGAAAATGAAAACTTAAAAATTACCAGTTAAATATTTCTTCTATTGTATTCTTTTGTTCCAACTACACCATTTTCTTCTTCTTCATCCTGACTTGTCACATGTTACTGAAATATTTGGCTTCAACCTAAATTTTGGAAGTAGAAAAAACAAATATGCAATCATGTCATAATTTTTATTACATTTTAAGACTTAAGTTTGTTTTTCTAAAATGAAATGATAAAAAATTTAATGTATTGTTTATTTAGAAAAATTAAGAATGATTTCATTTTCCCTCCATATTTATAAACAGGTTTCCTGGAAAGTTATTTAAAATCTTTTTTGAATAATGAGCTTACAGAATTCATAATTTTATGAAAAATTAAAAATATTAAGAACTGTAATTCAATTATGACTTACCATTTATCTGTTACAATTGGCTGCTTATTTCCCTCCATTTTTTTCAAATTGAATAACGAAGTTAAAACACATCTATTATGCTCCATGTTATATATTAATTTCCCAAGAAAGTTCTGTATAGCTGGGGTAGTTGAATTCTTAAATCTCATTTTCTATGTAATTATCAAAACTCATTTATGTATTAATATATAAATGTAAGTTGATTTTTTTTTAATTAAAATCACAACTTAAGCCTCCAATCTTTCTAAAGAAAATGACCATGCTGGAAATAATTTTCAGGGTGTGATATTTGCTCTGGATTTTAAACTGCTGTCGGTCAATCTGTGGTAACTTCTCTATTTTCATCTGCCAGATAGCCCAGTTTAACATAAAGTATTTTGAAATACTGTAAAAAGTTCCACTTGAAGGTTATTTGTTTATATAAACTGAAAGCTGACCTTAGAAGTAGGAGATTCTGTACAGATTGTGAGATGATGGATATAAACTAAAAATCTTGTACATTACTTATTGCTGACCAATTAATGCATTAAATAATATTTTTTTTATCATAAGTTAAATATAAATAAAATCAATTACCAGTGACAATTATCAATTTGATAGATAACAATAAATCATGTTGAGCTAAAAAATCTACAAAATTTAAAAAAAAATATTAAAGAATAATTCAGTAAATGAAAAGAATTTTTGTCAGGAGTTTACCATAAATCAACTGAAACTTCCAGAAATAGACATTATAATAAATTTCTTCTGAATTATAAATTCAATTTTATCTGACTGTTACAGCAATGTAAACTGTACTATAAGTGTATTACAATATTCATTTCTAATAACTCTAACTAATAGAACTGAACTCTGCCGCTAAACCCAGAGATCATGGGTTCGACCATGTTTCTTCATATGACACCAGTACTGGTTGGTTCCAGGAAGCGGACTCGAAAGTGATTAATATAAGTTGCAAGAACTTGCTTCGCAATCGAGCTTAAATAAATATGTTTAAACCAACTCTAACTAAGAAAAATCAGGCTGGAGATGAAGAACTTTTAAGACTGTATTGAAACTGGTTCTTGAAAATTTTCTAACATTGAAATATCTGGGTAGATTTTGCTTATTTTTCTCCAAGTCAGTAAAATCTGTGTCAAAATATTTTCAAAGTGCAAATATTCCTGCTTCCACCCTGACTTTTACCAAAATGAAGACAATGTCAGGGTAGAAAAAACTTGAATTCCCATGTGAGATTTCTTGAAAATTCAGGGTCCATGTCTATTTCACCCTGATTTTGCCAATTCTGGTTCAAAACAGGCCTGAATCGGTCCTGTTTTTCATAAAAGCCATGCTGATTTTTCGTACAGGGGTGAAAAAAGGCCTGAGAGCTGAAATAGAAAAAAACCTTTTCACATCATTTTCTACTGAACTTAATAATGGATAATCACCAAACTTTGTCTGTAGCATTCTTAGGTAGTCTTATAAAAAGTCTCCAGTATGAAAAGGAAAAGCGTGAGTTGAAATACTTTACTTGCCAGATGTACAGTTTACTTGCCAGATGTACAGTACTACAGTAACAATGAATTTGGGCCATTTGTGAAAGGTTCCTTTTTTATTATGAAGAAAAGAAAACAATAAGTTTCACAAAACCATAAAACTAGAGGGGCAAGTTAAAGTTGAGCTGAATTTGCACTTCTGTAGTTTCTGGTGAACAATGCAGGGCCATCATGGCCTCTTGTTTTAAAAACTACTTTTTATATTATTAAACTTTTACTTAGCTATATTTTTCTGCATCACATTGATAAGTTATTTTATTGGACTTAAAAATAAGTTAATATGTTTTAAAGTTTGTGTAAGTATTAAAACCTAATCTGCTCCATTTTATATGAAGATGATGATGATGATGAAGATGATGATAATGGTGATGAATATCACATACATTATACAAATTCAACATTTTCATCCACTCATTTCTTATTAAACTGTTTGAAAAAAATGATATTGCCAATCAAAAAGTGTTAAAGTTTCTCCCCCTAGACTTAATACTGTGCGAGTCTTCTATGATTGAAACATTGTAATACATGATTTTATAACATCAAATTAATTACATATATTTCAGGTGTTGTCAGGTTGTGGTGTTTATGATGGCAGTGAAGTGCATGAATCTTCAGCGTTTGTATACATTTCTTATGTTTATGAACATTTTAGAACAAAATCTACCTTGATTATATATTTGTATGTAAGAAAAAGTAAAATAAAATAGTAATAAAACCTTCTAATTTAAGGTAAGTTGTAAGTATTATATTGCAGCATAATGTTCGATCAAGTATCAAATAATTTGATTTCTAGATAATGGCAGATGTTGCTATCTGGTTTTAATATCTGCTTGCAACCAAGGAATTGTGGGTTTGTTTGAGTCCTTCTGGAGTCATAACTATGTTTCCACCTATCACACCAGTACTGCTATTGTTGTCACACCAGTTCTGCTATGGTTTTCGCCTATATGACTGAAATACTGTTGGGAAAAGGCGTAAAATGAAACAAACAAACAAACAAGTTATGGTTTTATTACATTTAAGATACTGTAACTCATTTTTTTTTGTTTCATGCCAGAAATATAATGCTCAAACGAAGATTTTATCATTTTTTTAAGTTCCATAAAGCATTATTTGTAAAGATATTTCATTGGTAATATTATTATTTTACATATTCTTTAAAGTTTGAAAATTGTCTGAGAAGCATAACTAAAATATGTATATACATGTATAAAATTTCACTCAAGTGTGGTAACAACCTTAATTACAACATACAGGATCTTTAAAAACAAGCATAAATAAATGAGTTTAACTGTGCAGATTGATTTTTTACTTGAAAGAAAAATGCACTTATGTTTTGAATGGATATCGTATTCTTTTCTTGTTGTTTTCACCATGTTTGTCATTGTTTGACTGATTAAGGGTAAAATGTTATTCATTATTTTAGAGTTCTGGTACATCTGAGCAGAGCCGGTGCAGAGATATCCATGTTTGCACCGGATATAGAGCAGATGCACGCTATTAACCATACTAAAGGCGAGCCAATGGAAACAAACAGGTATTTGTTTACAGTTTTCTAACTCACTTCTATTAATATCAGGGCCGGCAAAATCAGTTGTCTGTATTGCCCAGGTAGTCCCACAGCCTGTATGGGCAAGTGAAGATTTTCAAGAATTAACTATGTAAATAAATTATCATACAGACAAGTTAAAAAATGCTTCACATAAAAACGGACAAGTAAGTTAAAATCAGATTTTGTCGGCCCTGCTTTTATTGGCTTTAACCTTAACCATACCATAAATTTGTCATGGACATATCTTGCTGTAAGTTTGGAACTGTCCTTAATCAGTTTGATAGATGTTGATGTGAAACTAATAAAACTGATCTGCCAACAGAATTTGATGTCAGTTTGTTGGTTTTCAGTATTAAAGTAATAAAAATGAGAATGAGATAGAATTGAATCTGGTCTTGTGACGTGACGGGCAGACATGCATGCTGGCATGGCTCTATACTTGCTGCAATTAGGAAAGAATCATTTAACATCAACAAGCTAATGTTTCGTGACTATAGTAATGAAGAAATTTTGAATGTTTAGGAATCCATAGACTTAATAATGCAGAACCAGTGTTTCAGAGTAGGTAAAGATTGAAACTAGAGCACAGACTTGAAAACAACTTTTGATATGCAATATTAGTTAGTTAATGAACTGTGTAAGTGGATATTTATGCGTCATAAAAAGTTTGCGAATGTCAAAAAGGAGTCTTTGCATGCTGAAATATTTGCGAAAATATTATTTCTTGAATTTAATACTGTTTTTCTGATATCATTAATAGAGCAGGTATATGTAAAGAATATGACGTTATTGTAATTGTTCTATTCAGTTGTTCAATACCTTAATTATTTATAGTTCTATTCAGTTGTTCAATACCTTAATTATTTATATAATTGCTTGAAATACACATTGTTAGTTTGATAAAGGACCTGAACACACTTTGTCGTATTTCTGAAACATTATTTTGTTATATGAATAAACTATAGTGTTATTAACATATAATATATTGTTTCATTAAGATATTTGTGATTTGTTAAGACCAAACTTAAAAAAACAAGCAATGAGAAAAATTAATCTCAGTACCTGAACTGTCAAAGTTATTCATGTAAGATGCTGTATGAAAACGTGTTTTCAAATGATAGAAGAAAGTTTGCCTAATAGAAATAATTTTTGCCTAATAAAAATCATCAAATATTTGCAAATAATTTCAATTTGCAAAAATCGCAAATATTTCCACGTAGCAAAATACCACCAACAGGTTATGGGTTACGATTAAGCGTTTTACTTGTAATTCTTCTTTGTCTTTTATAGGAATGTATTGGTGGAGTCAGCAAGAATAGCTAGAGGCAAAATCAGTGCCCTGTCTAACTTGACATCTAGTGATTTTGATGCTGTGATATTCCCAGGCGGATTTGGAGCTGCCAAAAATCTGTAAGTCTTCTTTTAAAAAGGGCAATGCATAGAGAACCTTTTTGTATATGCCAGCTTGCTTGATTAATTTGGTTTACAATTTCAACATTGTAATTAGTGATTACTCTTTTTAAGAAAACACCTCTCAAAAGTGACCATTTTTATATTGGCTAGTTCAGGAACTAAATACATGTATGCTAGATTATGGAACATTGGTAGTTCTGCCTGTTCGTGTTTGAAATAATGTACTGGAGGGCATCTGAGGTCTTCCTCCCCCATTAAAGCTGAAAAGTCACCATGACTTATTCTATGTTGGTGCGATGTAAAACCCAATATAAGAAGTACATGTATATACAACACCAAATAGCAGTTAAAACATTGTTAATCTTATAAATCTTGTAGGATGTCAATTAAGAAAGAAAACAATTGGAAGTTTTGAAGTGTCTAAGTAAATTTTATGTGTCTGCAAAATTCTATTAGTGTATGAGCATGAATTTTTGTGCATCAATCTTGCATTGTAAGAATGCATAGAATTACAAATAATGGCCCCATGGATATATTCAAATTTACAATAATTAAAAAGTATGAGAACATTCAAGAAAGTTATTCTTAAAAAAAGTTAATGTATTTTATTTAAGAAATAATATATCCCAAACAGTGATTTTATCGCTCAATAACATCACTGTCGTTTGGATGCGAGGAATTACATCACGAGGGCGTAGCTCGAGTGATATAATGATGCGCATCCGAACAACAGACAGTGATGTTATTGAGCGATAAAATCACCGATTTGCATATATATTACTTTGATTCTAACACGAAATCAACAAATAAATGCTGCTGAAATGCTAACAAATGCTGCCTGATTTGTTTTCATACTGATTTTCAGCACATCACATTTTTAGTTTGAAAATTCTTTATATGCTACTGTACGTTCATGTGAACTTTTTTCGATGATCAAGTGGGAGATTTTTCTTCAAAAAGAAGGAGATTTTAGAATTTGCAATAAACAAAGAAGGAAGTTCTGACATCAAAAATAGGGAGATGTCTTTAATTTGTGAAAATACCCCTTATATTAAGAAAAATCTTTGAAAATATGGCAGCAGAAAGTGGGTGTCTCCCGCTAACAGTGGGAGAGTTCACATGTATGCCTGTATGGTGAAATTTCTCCCTGACAGTCTCATCATTGAGACTCGTGGTTATTTGTCTGTTTATGCTGTTAGATTAGTAGTCAGTCACTTGTTGAAAAATATGGTAAGTTCTGGTTAGTTATCCAGAAAAGCTAGTTAGTTGGATCGGCCACAGGAATATGCTTAAAAAATATGTTAAAATTGGTGTAAAAACCAAACAAACAATTATATACTTCTTTGATACAATTCTTATCTGTTATACAATTTCAGATCAACATTTGCAGTGGATGGAGCAGATATGAAAGTTAACAAGGATGTTGAAAGGGTTATCAAAGACTTCCATACAAACAAAAAGCCAATTGGGCAAGTCTGATTATACCATAATTTATATGACAATCTTCTTATGATAATTTTCTTGCCATTCTGTGTCATAAACACGCCATGATTATGGTCCAGTCAACATTTGTGCCAAGTTTGATGAATATTGAAACATCTTTTATAGTTTTATAGGAATCTGAACTTGTAACAGGAGGCTTTTCAATGAAAACAGCCATTTTTCACAAAATGCTCATGCAGAAATGGGTTATTAAGCACCTTTGATAACAATTCTTAATATATATAGCAAAAATACTTTGTTTTTATTCTGATCTTTTATATAGCTCTAAAATGCTACAGACTTTGACATGTTTTCATATTATTCAAAAAGAATTGTATTTTTTATTGTTTTTGTTTTGTTCTTTAAAAATTGTCATACATCTTGTCTACCTACTCATTAGCCTGAATGATACATGTCAAAAAATGTAATTTATACTATATTCTATAGATTCCATGATATTGATTGTGTTGTTTAGGTTATGCTGTATAGCTCCAGTTTTGGCAGCTAATGTTCTGAAGGGATGTGAAGTTACCGTTGGCAGTGATAAGGAAGAAGGCGGTAGGTGGCCTTATGCCGGAACTGCTGGGGCCATTCAGGCCATGGGATCCTCCCATGTGTGCAAGGATGTATCTGTATCCTTTAATGAATTATTATGAATTATGTGTATTTAGATTTACTGAGGCAAAGTTTTCACAGAAAGGTCCATTTTTTTGGGTATAAACAAATAAGCTACGTCACAACAAAACCAACATAGTGTGTTTGCGACCAGCATGGATCCAGACCAGCCTGAGCCACCGCGCAGTCTGATCAGGATCCATGCTGTTCACTATCAGTTTCTCTACTTGTAATAGGATTGGTAAGCAAACAGCATGGATCCTGATCAGACTGCGCAGATGCGCAGGCTGGTCTGGATCTATGCTGGTCACGAACCCACTATGTTGGTTTTGTCATGACGTGGCTCAAATATTCAGGCTTTTTCGAATTCATGGATATTGATCAACAATTATAAATTTGGGCACAATGCTCAGATATTAATTGACATTGGTGTTCTCAGTAATATTTCTCTGATTGATGAAAGTGATATCAAAGTATATGAATCAAATATATAGTGCTTGTAAATTCGTGATAAAGTGCAATTTACATGTTATCTTATATAATTTTATGTGTGTTACACATTTGTTTTGTGAAGTTTTAAAGTTGCTACATGACATTTATAGTGTTGGTGTGATATAAAAGCAAACCAAAAAGAATATATATATCTAGCTGTTCAAACAAAGTGAATTCTGTAAATTTGGTAAATACCAAAGTGAAAAAATTATCAAAATTATTTAACTTACAAATCATATATTTTCCTTGACAATTCGTTCAGGAGGCTTATACAGATTCAAAGAACAAGATTGTTACCACACCTGCTTTTATGTGCGAGACTAAATTCCACGAAATATTTGACGGAATAGGAAAAATGATTGATGGAATTATCAAACTTTTATAAGAAAAATATGGACAATCTCCATTGACTCTGACATCGTTTGATATGAGATATTAAATAGTTTTCATGATGACTAACTTACATGTGTGTGAAGTGTAATATTTGGATTATCAATCATTTCAAGGCTTGTAGCAATAATAGCCAGGTAATAAACTCTACAATCTGGCTGGATTAATTTAGTCCTAAAGAGACTAAAGGTTCTTTCACTTGTAGAGGTGGCTTTTTAAAGTTACATCCAAAATTCTTTTAGTGCATTTGGGTGCATTCACAGTGATTGAATATGCCTTCCCAGGACAAAAGCTTCATTTTGACATATTTAAATATGACCTTGACAGCCAATGTCAGATTTTAAAAATTTGTGAAATGTTACCATATCTTGTTATTTATTGACAGATTGAGATTGGAAATCTTTGTGTTCAGTGAACACATCTTTATCTTGTGTCTAGTCTTTTAAGTTATTGTATCAAAATGTTTTGTAAACTGTAACAGAATTTTATTCTTGTCCCTGATCTTGCAATTGATGCTTTTTTATGTAAAAGAGTGTCAGCATAAATCTGTTAAAAGAGTGTCAGCATAAATCTGTTAAAAGAGTTTCAGCATAAATCTGTTAAAAGATCTGATGGTGGGCTGCTTTTATCTGAAATTTATATTTGTTGGTATCAAACATTTGTAAAATATTTTATTGTAAGATCTAACCCGATTATTATTGCACTCATTAATATTTAAACCAGGAGAAGTGATCTTTTATCATGCATTTTGAGCTTATTACTTATTTCAATATGATCTTACAGAAAATTGAAAATAAACATGAACTTCTTGAATTAATTACTGTTATACTTATTTAAATATGTTTTACAGATTTAAAAAAAAAATTCCACAGAATTGAAATAATCTCCAATGGATTGAAATATTTCTCATGTATGGAATAATTTTTCATTTATTGAAATATTGTCCCTTGTATTAAAAAATCTTCAATACTTGGATATATATTTTCCATGGTCTAAAATATCTTCCATGTATTGAACTTTATTTAATATGTTGAAATATCTTCCAGGGATTGAAAGTATTTCTCTCAAATCTTAAAATGTCTTCCATGTGATGAAATATCTTCCATATAATGAAGTCACGTCCATGTATTGAAATATCTTGAGCATCAAATTCCAAACCCCCATTGGAATATACTTTATTCAAGGTCATGGGCTACATAACCAATCTGTTAATTCAAGCCCCTGCTGTCAGCGAGTTATTTTGATGGAAACAATATGTTTAAAATAATTGTCTTCAATTCTTTGGGTAACTGTTTGTGCAAAGACTTTAGTAAATACTCTCTGGAAGTGTGTGAGCGTGTGCTTTAAATACCCTATGCTTGACCCATTCACTGACTTAAAATTAACAGCTCCATTCCCGTTCATTATCCCCCGCCGATGGTATCGGGAGGGGGATATAGTTTTGGCGTTGTCCTTCCGTCCGTCCGTCCATCAGTCCGAATTTCGTTTCCGGAGTAGTTCTCTGCAACTACTGGCTGGAATTCAACGAAACTTTATGGGAATCATCAATATCAAGAGGAGATGTGCATATCGTCGGCTTGTTCCGGTCTGACACTTCAACTCAGAGTTATGGCCCTTGATTAGTTATGCAGTATGCATATAGAGTAAAAATCATTTCAGCGCTACTTCTCTGCAACTACTGGCTGGAATTCAACGAAACTTTATGGGAACCTTCAATATTAAAAGGGGATGCGCACATCGTCGGCTTGTTCCGGTCCGATACTTAAACTCAGAGTTATGGCCCTTGATTAGTTATGCAGTATGTATATAGAGTAAAAATCATTTCCGCGCTACTTCTCTGCACTTACTGGCTGGAATTCAACGAAACTTTATGGGAACCTTCAATACCAAGGGGAAATTGGCATATCGTCGGCTTGTTCCGGTCCGACACTTTAACTCAGAGTTATGGCTCTTGATTAGTTATGCAGTATGCATATAGAGTAAAAATCGTTTCCGCGCTACTTCTCTGCAACTACTGGCTGGAATTCAACAAAACTTTATGGGAACCTTCAATACCAAGAGGAGATGCGCATATCATTACCTTGTTTGGGTCAGACACTTTAACTTAGAGCTATGGCCCTTGATTAGTTATGCAGTATGCATATAGAGCAAAAATTGTTTCCGCGCTACTTCTCTGCAACTACTGGTTGGAATTCAACAAAACTTTATGGGAACCTTCAATATCAAGAAAAGATGCACATATCATTGCCTTGTTGGGGTCAGACATTTTAACTCAGAGTTATGGCCCTTGATTAGTTATGCAGTATGTATATAGAGTAAAAATCATTTCCGCGCTACTTCTCTGCAACTACTGGCTGGAATTCAACGAAACTTTATGGGAACCTTCAATACCAAGGGGAAATGCGCATATCGTCGGCTTGTTCCGGTCCGACACTTTAACTCAGAGTTATGGCTCTTGATTAGTTATGCAGTATGCATAAAGAGTAAAAAGCGTTTCCGCGCTACTTCTCTGCTACTACTGGCTGGAATTCAACGAAACTTTATGGGAACCTTCAATACCAAGAGGAGATGCGCATATCATAGCCTTGTTAGGGTCAGACACTTTAACTCAGAGTTATGGCCCTTGTTTAGTTATGCAGTATGCATATAGAGCAAAAATCATTTCCGCCCTACTTCTCTGCAACTACTGGCTGGAATTCAACAAAACTTTATGGGAACCTTCAATACCAAGAGGAGATGCGCATATCATTACCTTGTTTGGGTCAGACACTTTAACTCAGAGCTATGGCCCTTGATTAGTTATGCAGTATGCATATAGAAAAATATTTGTTTCTGCGCTACTTCTCAGCAACTACTTGCTGGAATTCAATGAAACTTTATTGGAACCTTCAATACCAAGAGGAGATGCGCATATCGTAGCCTTGTTCGGGTCAGACATTTTAACTTTGAGTTATGGCCCTTGATAACTTATGCAGTATACAACCAAAGCAATAATCGTTTCCGTGCTACTTCTCTGTAACTACTGGCTGGAATTCAATGAAACTTTATGGGATACCAAGAGGAGATGTGCATATAGTCGCCTTGTTCCGGTCAGACACTCAGATTTATGGCCCTTGATTAATTATGCAGTATGCATACATCTCATTGGCATTTCCAGATATTACTATTTAACACAGAGTTATGGCTCTGTTATTGCCCTGAATATTTATCAAGTTCAAAGAATATTACTGTTTATGCCATGATAAATATATAAATAAAGCCTTATGTCTTCAGTTGTTGTGTTAGTAATAACCAGTACTCGGCGGGGGATATAAATTCAACGAATTTGCTTGTTGAACTACAAAACCTATCTGAAGTTTTTACCGTGACAACTGTTTGTTAGCGAGTGTTTTTTGTTTTTTTGTTAAAAACTATATATTTAAAATGCAGCCTGTTCTCAATGCTTTAACAACTAATTTATCAAAGTTAGGAAATTTCCTCTAATAAAACAGCACAAGACCTCTCGAACCTTTAACCCAAGAAAAGCACTATGATGCCACTTTCTCCTGTAACTGAAGCTTTAGAGACCTCTTGTAACTGCAGCTCCAAATACCTCTGAATCCAGTAACATCAGAGACCTCTGGTATCTATAAACCTCTCGTCCTGTAAGACGGAGACCTTTCGTCCTCTTTCTCTAGAAACCTCTCGTTTTCTAACACCAGAAACGTCTCGTTCTCTGACACCAGATACCTTTCTTCCTGAAACACCAGAAACCTCTCGTTCTCTAACACCAGCGACCTCTCGTCCTGTAACATGTTAACACCATAAACCTCTCGTTCTCTTACACCAGAGACCTCTTGTCCTGTAACACCAGAAACCTCTCGTTCTGCATCACTAGAAACCTCTATTCTTGTAACACTAGAAACATCGCGTCTTGTAACACCAGAACCCTCTCGTTCTGTAGCACCAGAACCCTCTCGTTCTGTAGCACCAGAACCCTCTCGTTCTGTAACACCAGAAGCTTCTTGTTCTGTTACACCAGAAACCTCTCATCTTTTAGCACCAAAAGCTCTGATTCGTGTTCAACAACTGATAGTGCTTTCTTAAAGCTGTATATACATGTACATTATGTCTGGGACATAAGATAATCTTATGTCCCAGATTATCTATATAAAGAAATGTCAGCAATGATTACAAACGTTAAGTTAAATTATAAAACAATTTATTCACCAAACATTTATTACAAACACAATAATACATGTATTGTACCACAACTAAGATTACGTAAAATCCTTTGAAACTTTTTTCATAAGTCTCTCAATTTTATTAATTAAAGTGAGTATCATGCACTGTTCATGAAAATTTAATTTGAATGAAGGTTTGAACTGGATAAAATGAACTGTTCAAGTCACTCCACGAATAAAGAAGCTATTTCTTCAGCCGAAATTACCGCATCACCATCTTTATCAAGGGAGGTAAATATTTCAGTTAAATCTTCTGGAGACAATGGGTCATCACCCCTTTCCTGAAGAAAATAAGAATTATTATTAGAACTCACAAGTTAAATATGTTATGTTGAAATTATTTTTTGTCCAATAGAATTGCAGTTTATCAAATGAAGCATAACACTTACATTCGTAAATCGGCTAAATTTAATAAGCCTTGTAAATCGACAATTTTATAAAAAAAATTAAACACTAAATTGATTATTGTTAATTACATTGTACATAGTAAGCATGTACGTTTACATGTACATAGACCAATCAAATTTTGTACATGCTTACTAATTAACACTAATCTGCACATAAAGGACTGACATTCAATATATTTGCTTTGAAAAAAATGCATGAAAAGAAATGTATACGAAATTATTTTTACAAGACAATATAGTTATAAATCAACTTTTATAATTTATCATCGTCAAATTATATATCAGTTGCACATACTTTAAAGTCCGTGAACAGTTAGGACCGGGAACCGAGTCTGACCCTGCTGCTGTGACCTCCGCAGATCAAAGACAACATTTCAAGTTTTAGATATGTTACATTTACCGTATTTTGAATTGAAAACATGTACTAACCACGCCGTCATATTTTTTTCTACATTTCAATAGAACGTTTGACATGCATCTTTTCGCTATATTTAAATCTGAACCATACAATTATTTTTATGTGAACGTTGAAATCTACCATATTTTTATGGATAATACCATTATTTTTTGATATGGCATTATTTGTTCCATACCATTATTTTAATCAACGTGCAAGTTGGAAGAAAACAGGTACCATACAGTGTACATGTCTTTTAATCAAAATAAAACATCTACCATACCATTAGAAACTGTTCAAACTGTTCCTTAGTTAGGCAGTCGTCATCATTTAACTCCAAGTTCTGTAGAATGGTTTTAACTGCGTTCATAATATCTTCATGCCTTTCCTGATAATACAGAATAAATTTACAAAATGATATTTGAGCCGCGTCATGGCAAAACCAACGTAATGCGTTTGCGACCAGCATGGATCCAGACCAGCCTGCGCATCCGCGCAGTCTGATCAAGATCTATGCTGTTCGCTTACAAACCCTATTACAAGTAGAGAAACTGAAAGCGAACAGCATAGATCCTGATCAGACTGTACGGATGCGCAGGCTGGTCTGGATCCATGCTGGTCGCAAACGCATGTTGGTTTTGTCATGACGCGGCTCATATTTCTATTGGTTTAATGAGAAAGTTTTGGTCATAACCGGCTGGAACAGAAATTAATTGATCATCTTTTGCAAACAGATTGTATGGTACTGATCAGGCTCTATACTGTTGGTAGCTCAATAATTGTATTTTGATACTGAAATCTTTTAAAACTTTGATTTCCAGTTGCTCTAGATTTGTAATAAAATATTTATTATATACTTATAAATGAAACACTGAGAAATATATATGAAATAACATGCGTATTTTCATTTTCCGTATTTTCACTGTAAAAATTTATTTTTCACTACACCGGTGAAACATATTTTTCCGTATTTTCACAGGTGTCTTGCCGGACTACTTTCTTTTAAATTCATCCAATACACCAATTTTAAGTGGGAGATTTATATCGTTATGTCAAAAAAGAAAGGAAGTATATAATAAACAGAAAATTCAAGTTTTTTTCTATTAATACATGATTTATTTTCATCTTGTGGTATGAAATCATCATTTTTCACTCGTGGCTTCCGCCACTCATGTAATATTTATTTTCATACCACTCAATGAAATAAATCCTGTATTTATAGAAAAAAAATTGAATATCCTCACTATATAGCAGGTTAACCCATTACTTCATATACACGCCTTTTAACGCCTTTTTCACCCCCACCCTTTTTGTTGTCTCAAATGATGAAAAAACGCCTTATTTAGGCCCCAAACACTTGTTTTTGTTTGAGAAATGTTGTTAAAAAAAGTGACCTCTTTTTCGGCGCGGCCCCCCAACCAAAAGATACATCAGGGGGTTGCCAGAAGGGGGATGTGCCCCCTTCTGTTTGGGGGATTTGAAGGGGGGCGGAGTCCCCCTCATCGCCAAGAAAATTTTGGACTTGTGAGAGGCTGTAAATGACCCCAGATTGATCATAAGGTAACGTGTAACCAACGCTGAAAAGCATTTGACTCTATCTCAATCCATTGAAAAGTTGCAGCACTTTGAAATCAATTTTGATGGAAAAAATCAACGCAAAATAGTGATTTTTGGCAATTTTGAGATGTCCCCTCGTTGCCATGGTAACAGAAAATTTAAGCCTGAGCATGTTGTTTCAAGGGCAATGGTCCAGTCAACATTTGTGCCAAGTTTGATTAGTGTTGAAGCAGTTTTTATAGTATTATAGCAATTTGAACTTGTAACGGGAGACTTTTCAATGAAAACAGCCATTTTTCACAAAATGCTCATGAAGCAATGGGTTAAGGTTTAGAAAATAAACTTCTTTTCTCACCAATATGTGTCGATTAAAGCACTCTGACCAGATTTAGTTTATTGCTGGGCAAGTGATTTTAGTCCAGCTTTTTTCCAATTACTTTCGTAGGTTCGAATCTGAAGAAGTATACTGTGATGCTTTTCTTTAAACCCTTACGAATTATCATTACAATGACATGAAGAATTCAAGTTTAATTCACCCACCTCTCTATTTCTATATAGCCCGGCGACTAATCTTTTCAGCTCCTCAAAATCCAAATCCCCATCTTGATCGCTGTCGAATTCATCAAGTTTGTCCTGCACTTCCTTTCTAGACAAATTCAGTCCAAATATTTGAGCCATTTCTAACAGCTTATCAATTTTTAATCCCCCAGTTTCTTCCCCGCTTAATTCATCGTAAACTTCTCTCAGATGCGTTTCTTCTTCTTCAGTTAATTCGGCCATTTTTAAATTTTAATCAAATTAATATCGGCTCCGACCATGAAATAAGCTGTGTGATATTTTTAAACAGAATTTTAACCATACTTTAAGTGGAAACAATGTAAAACCAGATATCCAATAAGCGTGTATACCTACAAACAATCAAAACTTGTAATTTGATTACAGACCGCTATGTAGATTCAACTAAAAGTAATGTAAAAAGATATACCTTATTTTTAGATATCGATTTATCTTTTTTCAAAAAAATGAAATATCTATTTAGATAAGAAACAAAATACGATTTTAGATAATATTAATTATTTAAAAGACTTAATTGGTTAATTAACCTTTTATCATGATGAACTTGTCAATTTGGATAAAACCATTCGTTATTTTAAAGCAGCACGCCTCCAGATTTATGTTAATTTTCATAAAAATTTAGAAAATTTATTTAAAAGTAAAATAATGTGAGGTGAACAAATAAAGTAATTTACATATTGCAATCGGCACTTACAATCCACGAATATTACCAAAAAGTGGCCAACATATGCAAAAACAGCCCTAACTTACTGCGTTAGTAACGCAGTAGAAATATGGTGATAAAATATTGCAAAAATCAGTGTTAAACCGCACATAACATGAAGAATATAAATTGTACCTTGAATGTTTTAACCTTTCTTATTTTTTTTCTCTCAATATTGATTTAATTGAAATCTTTTGGCTCATCTGGAGGCATGCAGCTTTAAGTGAAAATTTCAAAATACATAACTGACCGAATAGCGTACAGTGCAGGCAACGTACACGCCGGCTGATCTTTGTTTGCGCTGGTTGCAGGAGTCGAACCTGTTACTGCCAGTTGGCTATAAAATGGGTTAATTACTTATGTTTTAAAAGCTATTCTAGGATTACAAAAACTGCCGATAACTATTCTTCTCAAAAGGATATAAGTTTTTTTCCAGACATCCAGAGTAAAACATAGCCTTTCATCTTTAATTTACATTTTTCTGGCTAGGTTGTGTTAATTTTTGCTAGGCCTTCCCAGCGATATTAAGTCAGAGAAGGGTAATTTGACGGGTATATCATATATACTCGTATTTGCTTTCGGCCAGTCACTGAACGTTAACTGTTTCATACATGTAAAGTGACTTAAACATTTCGTCTTAACTGAACTGTATCAGTCATTCCAGGGCCTGCAAAGAATACGAAATCCACAATAAAAAGATGTTGGGATAAATGGGATTTAAAAGATAAACCGTAATCAATTAAAAATCATCACAAACAAAAACCGACTTAAAGACTATCATTTTACAATGGATCGATTTCACATCCGCTTTCCCAGCTTTTTACCTTTTATGTAATTTCATTCTTAAGTAAAATGAAATATATAGGACATTTTTATTGGCAAATATAATTGAGCAAATATAACATACTTTAAATCTTGTTTATCTTGAAAGTAGTTCTTCCGCCCTATTTTGTTAGATACAAGTCGGCAAACATCACATTTGACAGCGTATTGATTTATAGTTCTAGTAAAAAAACTATGAGTGAGACTAAAAAAAAGGATTGGAGCACCACACTAAATACACAGACACTTGGGGATGTGGAGCTTATGTTATGCGCTGAATTATGGGTTCTACTTAAGGTGGATTGAATCTCAACACAATGTTCCGTTTTATATTTTAATGTTTCTTTCTTAGTGGAATACCACAGATAATATATAACATATACACAGGTTATCCTGATGTTAACAAATTGATATTAAAAACAGTAACGATTATTTCTAGTGGAAAGCCACAATACAATGTTATCACTTGGAAATCCAAAATCTAACTGACTCTAAATTTTCTACATGTATCTTTACAATAATTCTAAAATTGATTTCGTTTTAACTGACCAATAGAATTTTAACCTTTTTGTGTCTTAAATAACAAAATGACCAATCAGGTTTCAATACAAAATAATGTAACATAGCAACATAGAATTTATAACAACAATCATCACCTGGATATTTTATCAGTCATAAGGTTTAACAACATGATAAGTACAGACAGCTTAATTGACCTTATCACCTATATATTGTAAAACGTTTAGCACAGTTGATTGGACAAAGAGGAAAAGCCGCATTTTAATCATCCAGTTACATAATTTTAAATTTGACATCTGTTATTGAAACATATACAATTTGTAACTTAACATATTTGAAATTTCACAAATTTTGTTTTAAAAATATGACCTTTTAGAAAATGATTATATATATAAATATTTGTGTTTAAAAGAAAATCATCATGCATATTTATTCTTTTTTTTTTAAATGAATTTTATCATTTTTCGGCTGCACAACACTTCTCCCTCCTTTAAGACTATTTCACTCCTGTGAAATGAAGCATAAATACTATTTAACAAAAATAAATATCATTAAATCAGAATACTGTTTACATAAGATATTCAGTTACAGAAATATATACTTGAATATAAAGCACCGATTTTGCTGAAAAGCGTAAGTACCATTCACTAATAATAAATATCCTAATCACTGTCTTATTGTAAACAACACAGTCTTAATGACGTCTATTTCTGTTGTATTGTCCCCTCTGTCCTTGTTGTCTTCCATGATGATATTGACCTCTCCATTCATGTGGGAAACCGGTCTCGCATGTACTTGAAAGATCTTGATTTCTGTTTCCTCTTTTTCGACAAAGATATTTAGTTTTGTCTTTCAAATGAGCAATCTCGTCTCTTAAGTTGTGGTTTGCATTTTTAAGGTCATCTATTTGGTCGTTTTTCCTTGATTCTATCATTTCTATTTCATAGGCTTTCTGGTTGTGCTTCAATCTCAGTTGTTCATAGTCGTCATTTAGTTTCTTAAATTCTAATATAAGTTTGTCCATTATCTCTAGTTTTGAAGAGTCAGTCCGAATTTTTTCCTTTAGCGAGTTGTTGTTTTGAAAAAATGTTTCTTTAAGTTGACTTATTTCTAATTTCTTTATGGAAACCTCATCCTGTAGTTTTTCATTAAAATCCTTAAGTCTTTGATTTTTAAAAACAAGGGCAATATTTTCTGCTTTTAAACCGTAAATAGTTTTAGTCATTGAATCGGTCAAAGATTTCAACTTCTGAAATTCTGCTGTTGAAACATTACTTACAGAATTGTTTGTTTGGTTCTTCTTAAAGTAGGCATCGTCTTCATTGTAAAACGGAAATGTGTATTCAGCTGTCTTGCGTCTGATGAAAGTTGTCATGCGTTCCTGATCGCGTAGTTTTGAGTGGTTTGACTTTTGCCTAACTGCTGGACGTAGACAAACTCGTGCAAAATGTCCAATTCTATTACATTTGTTGCATCTTGCCATTTTTGCACAACACTTCTCCTGTCTGTTATTATGATAAAGTCCACATTGTCCACATGATTTTTCACTTCTGAATGGTATTCCATATGTGAAACTCATTGTTGTTCTTCTTGGGGAATTTGAATTCGTAGTCTCGCTTGCTAAATTGAGAGGTTGGGAAAGACACTGATTCCCGCCACGTGTTATGCGCTAAATTATAGGTCCTACTGGAGGTGGATTGAATCTCAACACAATGTTCCGTTTTATATTTTAATGTTTCTTTCTTAGTGGAATACCACAGATAATATATATAACATATACACAGGTTATCCTGATGTTAATAAATTGATATTAAAAACAGTAACGATTATTTCTAGTGGAAAGCCACAATACAATGTTATCACTTGGAAATCCAAAATGTAACTGACTCTAAATTTTCTACATGTATCTTTACAATAATTCTAAAATTGATTTCGTTTTAACTGACCAATAGAATTTTAACCTTTTTGTGTCTTAAATAACAAAATGACCAATCAGGTTTCAATACAAAATAATGTAACATAGCAACATAGAATTTATATAAACAATCATCACCTGGATATTTTATCAGTCATAAGGTTTAACAATATGATAAGTACAGACAGCTTAATTGACCTTATCACCTATATATTATAAAACGTTTAGCACAGTTGATTGGACAAAGAGGAAAAGCCGCATTTTAATCATCCAGTTACATAATTTTAAATTTGACATCTGTTATTGAAACATATACAATTTGTAACTTAACATATTTGAAATTTCACAAATTTTGTTTTAAAAATATGACCTTTTAGAAAATGATTATATATATAAATATTTGTGTTTAAAAGAAAATCATCATGCATATTTATTCTTTTTTTTTAAATGAATTTTATCATTTTTCGGCTGCACAACACTTAAATGCCTTTAAAATCCAGCACATGTATCGTCACTTCCGGGAGACCCAACATATATGACCGCCAAATTCAAATATTTATATTGTACATTATGTAGAATAAAAAAAACAAACTTGGGAAACAGCACACTATGCATCTTTGTAATTGTTTTATTACAAATAAACGTCTTTTAAACGAGCGATTGCAGATAGAATGCTCGAGTAGTCAAAAGCATGTACACCGTTTGTGTACCGGCTTGTCAAGCGCTCCACGCAGAGGGTACGCAGAGTCGGGAACTCTTCTCGTATTGCTCGGACAGAAATTCGGTTTTATTTAAATGTTGATTTTCATATTAAAATGTGATGTATAAATGTTTATTCTGATTGCATCTACGATTCGATATTCTATTGTTTCACGGTAAGGTTTATTTAATTTAAAAAATGTTGAATAAAAAAACAAAAATTATAACTAAGAAATATTTTCATTTATTTATTTTCTTTGTAAATTTCTGAATACTTTGCTTACTGTTCGGGTATGTTAGTCGAGTGAAGAAATAATATGGCCTTATATAACCTGTTTTAAAAACATATTCAGTATCATTTACTTAATATAACATCAAAAGAAATAGAAATTTATTTACAACATGTTTTTGTTGTATATATGACAATGCATTTAGTTTAACACTGAATTTTCTTAAGAAAGCGTGGTAATTTTGACAGTTGGCATAAGCGGTAACCATGGAAACTGCCCGTTTACAAAAAAACTAACAAGTCAACATATATTTTTATTTCTTTTTTTTGAATCCACCATAAACTGTTACTTGATATATCAAAAATGTAGAAAATTCTATGAAAGAAATTTCTTGATAGCTTTAATAATTTACAGAGTTCATGTTTATTTTTCTCATTTTTTGTTCAGTTAAAAAGCATGAAAAAACTCATTTTTTTTAAAGAAATATGTTCCAATTATCGTTTGTTTTATACAGAACCCTAAGATAAAGCAAGCTTTGTATAAAATTATGTTTATTGTGTGTGTAATTAGCTGTCTTATACATTTTTGTAACACAGTTTGGCTATTTTGACAGTTTTGAGATATACGGTTACCATGGAAACTGCCATTTTAAAAAAAATCCAACACGTCAACATATATTTTCTTTTTATTTTTGAATTCGTCATTAAATTTTACAGAACATACAAAAAAATTAGAAAATCGTATGAAAGAAATTTTTCAATATCTTTAATATATTCACAGAATTCATGTTTATTTTTCTAATTTTTTTGTTCAGTTAAGGAGCATGGAAAACTCATTTTTTAAAGAAATATGTTCAGATTATCATTTGTTTTATATAGAATCATTGGATAAGTTTATCTTTGCATAAAACAATGCTTGTTGTGTGTATTAAGCTATCTTATACATGTTCTATTTTTTTTTATAATACAAATCGGCTATTTTGACAGTTTTGAGATATACGGTTACAACGGAAACTGCCATTATACAAGAAATCCAACACGTTAACATAATAATATTTTTCTTTTTATTTTTGAATTTTCCATTAAATTTTACTTATCATACAAAAAAAATGGAAAATTCTATGAAAGGATTAAATTTTCATAAAACTGTAGAAAACGTCTTTAATAATAATTTATACGGTTTTATTAGTTTAGGGCATTCATGTTATTGAGACTTGATGGTTAACGTTTTTTTTCATATTTGTAAAAATTGTTTGAAAACAATTTATCGCTGTATATAATAGATGTCCCATTCGTCTTTAAACATTAATATGAGCCGCGTCACGACAAAACCAACATAATGGGTTTGCGACCAGCATGGATCAAGACCAGCATGCGCATCCGCGCAGTCTGATCAGGATCCATGCTGTTCGCTATCAGTTTCTTTACTTGTTATAGGGTCTGTAAGCGAACAGCATGGATCCTGATCAGACTTCGCGGATGCGCAGGCTGGTCTGGATCCATGCTGGTCGCAAACCCATTATGTTGGTTTTGTCATGGCGCGGCTAAAATTAATGACAAAAATAGTAAATTAATGTTATTTACCAAAATCATGCTACAATGTCATTCTCTATAATGAATTTCTGTATAAATACTATATATTTTGGGTTTGAAGCGTAATTATATTTTCATATATTGAACGAAATTAAGACGCCGACAACACCGAGTAGTTTTAAAACAAATCATATAACTGGAAAACACTCTGGAAATTACAATTACAGATATTCTGGACATTGTTAGATTGAAATAAGTAGATTTCCTCTATTAGTCATTCATTTGACAGATACTTTATAACGTTTTCATAGTTCTCTATAACAGCCATTTTGAAGTCTAAATGCTATAACCTGACCCACGTGGGTCAAGTTGGGAAACTTTATAAAGAGAAAAGTTTTGTTCCTCTGACTGCTTAGTGTTTTTATTTCGAGGACATTTATAGAATATTGAAAGAGAAATTCAAATCTTTGAAATGAAAATTTTGCCTGTGTCTCCCTACACTAAAGAATTGAAAAGCATAAACTAGTACCATATAATTATGTTACCTATTCAGGTGATATCATGATTTTTTACCGATATTATAAACGTTGCTTTAATAAGGTTCAAATACGCTGTTTTTACCACTGTCTTCAAGTTACATTACGCTAAATCTGTCTGGTTGAGTTCATTTGACTATACAAATGTATATTTAAAAAGATTGACTATTATAATGGCCATTGAACAATAGTTGATTATGAAAAATGCCAAGGATAAAATATGATTGATAAATTGCCTGAAATATAAAAGGCCTGCTCCACTCTTATTTATAAACGGAGCATTAACGACATATTCCGAAGGATATCTATAGAATTTATTGTGATTCATGTGGGCTAGTGATTATTCACATGGACTATTATCTATAATTTAAAATTGAAACCTATTATGGAAAAATTTCAAGTTGATTTGACTTTGACATTTTCATCCACCATTCATAATGTCACTTTAATTTATGTTTAACTATGGATCTCTTTTTTGTTATTTCATACTAGGTAATGAGCGTATACGTCAGTTTGCCTCTTTTTTTCTCTCCAGATGGGCCCAATATACTTTTTAACCATGCGTAAAATCCAGATATCGTACAACAACTCAACTTCCTAAATGACCAAGGTTAAACGATAGGTCCAGATGGTAAAGGGACACACGGACCTGACGCTGTGCTGTCGATGGTAGACTGGACATTGCAAAATCAAGTTAATCAGACTCCTGCCTTGTCGATACACTCGGTATTATTTATAGCAAACTATTTACAATGATATAATGAAAAAACGGTTTGCAATAGTAACTATTATGGCTAAACTACCATATTACACAATCGGAAATGCATTAGTACTAGGAGTATACTACTTAAATACCAGTAACACTCACTGTAACAGTACTTGTCAGCTCATGCGGTATTAGTACAAATACCAGTATTGTACCAGTACTTTTATTTTGGAAGTAATTAAGTACCAATACTTTTATATCACCATATTTTGCATACAGACTGTTTAATATAAATTTCCAAAACAAAGTTTTCTTAATATAAAAGTATAAAGATAAATAGGATGATATATGTGATAAAACTTTACTCTTTTAATCTTTTATGAAAACCAAAGTTGTCCCTTATTAATGCAGTACCAGTGCCACATATTGAGACAGTAATTCAGTACCAGTACAAATAGCAGCAAATTTTTATGCGAGTAATTCACTGACAGTACACTTGTACCAATACAGTACTTGCAAAATAAATGTACCAGTAATGCATGTCTGTACACAATTAAAAATATCAGTTACTTAACTTGTTCTTAATATTTTCTTCAAAATTAAAAGAAAACACCTTGCATATTACCTATTATTATAGCATAGTGAATAACTAACATGGAATTAATATTTCAGGTTGAAATAAGAACCGTTACCATTTTGTGGCACTTCATGACTGGACAGAATGAAAAGATCGAGTATCATATGAAACTACCAGGTACTGATTTAAGAAACCTTCATTACTTACTTCTAGGTATACTCGGCATTCTAAACTGATTTTAACAGTCTTATCTGATGTTCCCAATGAAAAAATACTGATTTTCCCAATGAAAAAATACTGATTTTTCCCAATGAAAAAATACTGATTTTCCCAATAAACATTGTAGTTTTGTTAAAAAGCGCATACAATTTTCTTCTCTTTAATCGTAGCAGGTAAGGCTTTTTCAAAATAATTTTAAATGATCTTTTAAGGACATGCTTTGTGTTTAGTTGATGTGGGATTTGCACATCTAAAAATTAAATTCCGTAGGCATGATGTAGAAACACTACAACAGCTAGCCGATGTATTAGAGAAATGCTGTATGGTACCCTCATGCAGTGGTCATGGCAGCAATGGAAACCCTTTCTAGATATTTTTCAAGTATAAGGTAAACTATGTTTATCGCACTCAAATGAAAATGTTTTAAATGAAAATGTTGTTTACTTTAAAGTCGGAGTTGCGGTACCACAGAAAGAGAAAATATCTTATACATGAAAGTTTAAGGGTGTAATGTTTCTATTAATCGTTTACCAGTAACTTTAATTTACTTTACTTACATTTCTCTTATAGCATGAAGTAAAAAATGTCCATACCATATAATTAGAACGTATTCATGGTCCTTAAAGAGTATATTTAAGCCAAATCAAGTAAAACATTTTAACATGAGATAAATTGTATATCATTCCTTTACAATTAAATTAAATTTATATGTTGGGATGGTCTTAATTTTTTTTATTATTTTACAAACTGACAGTAACAGTATGTGAAAATCAGTCACGTGACCATGTTTACGGAGCTGTCCAAGTTGTTCCATTCTTTTAACTAAATATGTTTAAATGTGCACAGAATATTTAATATTTTTGATTTATAGAGGCATATTAGGAAACACGTCTGTAACAGTTGTCATTACGGATATTTATCATTTTCTTCTGACAGAACATTCCAGCACATTCGGTTTCAGTCAGGCACACCGGGTGCGGTGATGGCCAGAATAACACCCGATTCGCCGGTCTCCTATCGGTAATTCCCGGTCTCTTCCGGTCTATTTTGACCGTGATTTACTAGTGACCGGCGAAAAGTATCACACGTTTATTGTCCGGTCTCTCAGATGTTTGATACCGTTACAGAACAGAACAGAACAAATATTTTACAAATAAATAAGTTCTTTTCCAAAATGAATGTTTGTCACATAGTTTGGTTACAATAATTAATAAACACAGATCAACTCTCAAATTTAATGATAACATACAATTCGAAAAAACAACAACAACAATAGCATGTTTCATATTACTTATATGAGATAAAACAACAAATATGTACAATAATTGAGTAAAAAGGTACATTTTTATGGTATTAATATGACACCATCAACTTTGAAACATTTTATTTACTTTGTTATTCGTGTTTAGTAAAGATGCTGAATTATTCTAATTTATGAATTATTCAATTGATTGATAATTTAAAAAAATGATAAAGAAAAATACAAATGTACATGTACATGGTTTAAGAATAAACAATATTATATATTGAAAGATTAACCATAATTTACTGACTTTTTCCAGTTATTTTTTGACTTATAATCGTCGGTCAATATGACAATTGAATTCTTAAAATTTATTTTACAATTTTAATAAAAACTAGAACTATCACTAAAGATGGTCTTAATTCTGGAGTATGTAACTACTGACTTAAAGAACAGAAAATTCCGTTCTTTTAAAAATGGTCTTAATAGCAGGTGGTCTTAAATCTGAGTTGGTCTTAAGTAGGGATTCTACTGTAAATACAAATACAAAATTTAGGTTAGAATGAAAAGAATTGTAAGTGCAGAAAACTTACCCTTTTATGTACTGATATAAACAAAAATAGCGCACATGTACTTAAAAATGAAATGCATCTGAAGACATAAGAAAAGTTAACTAATTCTCATTCTTAAACTTACGTCTTTTAGGATGAAAATCATCATTTACATTATCATTGCCTGATTCACCTTGATATGAGTCTAATTCCCTATCATCTAGTCCAGAAAGATCTGAAAGTACATTCGCGCTTTCATCAGCAACATCAACTCTTTGAGCTGCTGAATTTCCCCTGTTATCGTCACTGGGATTTGATGTTTCTGAATTAAAGTCTTTCACAGATACAATTTGTTTAGGCACAGTTTCATCATCAGGGCCAGCCACAGTTTCATCATCAGGGCCAGCCACAGTTTCATCATCAGGGCCAGCCACAGTTTCATCATCAGGGCCAGCGTCTATAAACAACGTTGATAGATCGTAAACTCCGCTGTCACCGTAACTAGATGTACTTGGTAAAGATACAATAGAAAACCCACTATCAGGTTGCTTTTCTTGCGCGCCAATTTTCAACATTTCAATCTGTAAGTCACAATTTCCAATGCTAGATTTACGACTATTGTTAAAATCTTCAGGCTCATTTCTCCGCTTTTTTTCTTTTGTTTCATTTTCACAAGGTCTGTCCTTCCGTTTGACCTTTTAAGACTGGTTTCCCTTGCTGTTATCTGAAAAGTACTTAGATCAGGAACTTTCTTTTCCTGTGTTTTCTCATCATAACTCACATTATGCTCACTATTTCTTCTTGAATTATTTACCAAATTAGCTTTTGCTTTGTCGTTATTTCCAATTGGTTTGATATCTTCTGCGCAACCTGATGCTCCATTGTTGTCTTTATCGGGATATTTGACTACTTCCCTAGTATTCTTTTCAGATTTACTGTCCGTGTGTATAATATCCCTAGATTCCGCTCTATCTTCAACAGAAGGCTCAGCCTGATTACTTTCTTCTACTTGATGAATATTATTTTCTACATCAGCTCTGCAGTCGGTGGCACTTGACTGACTAAGGCTTGACTGACAGATTCTTATGTCTTCACATCTACAAACGAAACTATTCCTGTCTAGATTTATATCATCTTGCAGCATTCTTGCAATATCTGTATGATACCCAGATGACTCTATAACTCTAGCAATGGTTATAATAACATCTTGATATAAACTTGGGTTATTCACTACCTTAAACAATTCATTCCAAAGTCGCTCCGATGTCGTGGGCTGGCCTGGCTGATCTTCCTCGCTCACGATATTAACAAATGGTAGCAAAAGCAAACCATTAGAACACTGGGGAAGATGATCAGTTATCAGAGAAATATTCACTCTTTTACTAAGATTACAGCGAAGACACTGTGATTGGTATGTAAAATTTGAATCATTTAAATGACGATTCAAAGAGGTAAATATACTTTTTACAGTATCCTGATAACGTGTACGCATTCCATAAATAAACATAAGCATCGTGTGAGTGTCTCTGTTTAGAAGCATTAATAAAAGTCTTATTGTGCACTGTGATTCACTGGAACGGGCATAACACAATTCCTCATTGGTAACCGTGCAGTTTTCAGTCATGAATGAGTTGTCTATCCGATTCAACTGTACGAAGTTTTCGTACATTGCTCTAACTAGACATGCTCTGAATCGTTGCTCGTCTAAATGACAAAAAAAAAAAAAGACGAAAAACAAGTAATGAATGGGAAAACATGTAATGAACGAAAAAATAGCCAATGAACGTTACAAAAACATGCAATAAATGACAAAAAAAGGTAATCAATAAATTTAAATAAAAGCAAGTATGTACCATTCCAAAATCTCAGCAATTCAAATCAAGCTAGCTGATAACAAAACTCTTTTTAACAAGCAAGGTACGCAAAGCGTTGTTGACGGGTGTACTATTGATGATATTCATAATAAATACGAAAAGGTATTTTCATGTAAAAAAATCGGATACATGAGATAAAGAGATAGTAGTAAGTAACACAATTTTGAGTGACAAAATCTATCTGTCTCAGCTAACATTATGTACATTAAATATGAAATATACTTAGTTAATATCTTGTTATTTATATATACTATATAAAAAACGAAACCACAAATGCTTTAATACCTTCGATAGAGCTTGTATAATCTCCTGTAACTGTTTCATTCACCCATGTTTCAAAACTCTCAGCTTCAGGATTTGTCTCTAGACTCGTGCTTGTCGCGCCTTCATTTTGGGTAGCCTGGAATAACCATGTTGGCAACACATATTGTATACTTTGTAAACTTGGTATATATTCTGCATACGGCGCTAAATATCCAGCAATAAGAGATGGCTGGTTCGTTTCAAGTCTAATCTCGTCTGCGTCTGCATTAATAGGAATATTTACATGAACAAAGTCATGTGTTATTGAATCAGGGTTATCGTCCGTATGCTCTGAAATTGGAGGATCCGGTCTAGCAGTATTTTCAGCTTGGGAATTGCATGCTGTATCGACAGAAAGAACGCTGCACGCGCCGTCTACCTCTGTGCTTGAAGTCAATTCCGACATTGTGTATGCCGCTAAAGAGCACAGCGAATGGAATGCCGGCTGGTTTGCATGAGAGTCTACTTCTTTCTGAAAATTAAGTTAAAACTTAAATAGTATGGGTTGAGTACTGTGACATTGTTGATTACAATACTCAATAAAAAATTGGACGAGTAGACAGGTTTTCAACTATAAATATTAGCCGAGTCTTATAGATGTTCTGCAGCTGTATTAAGTCGAGTCCTATAGAATCAGTAATGTTTTCAACAATATAATTTCATATGTCATTTTTTATTTTGACATAACTTGGTAAAACTTACAATGAGGATTTTAATATGGATGTTTTTAAATCTGAAAGTGAAAACGAGGCTCAGGTGTAACGGAGTCCAATATACAGTGACTTATTACGTAATCGTGGTCGAGGGGTTAGAGCCGATGATTTCTAACCCAGTTACCTCTCTGGCGTGGGTTCGATCCCCGGGAGATGCTTTGGTAGTTTAGCGCAAAGGAAGGAAGTCTAGTGCTGGTGTAACTCTCTAGGAACGATGGTTAGGAAACTACCCGCATATATGACTGAAATACTGTTGGGAAAAGGCGTAAAATGAAACAAACAAACAAACAAAACGTATTTTTTCTTTTCTGGAAATCAAAATGAGGGTACATGAAATACTATCGTGATGTGATACATATATGTATGCATTTTGTGGAACCGAGCCTTAATTGATAACATTGTACATTTGGAGCTAACACGGCGTGAACGCTGGATTTTTATTTGGTTACATTTCAAAATGTGTTTACTATCAGACAGTAAAGTTTATATTTCAATTTGTTAAACAGAGCGTTTCATGAGAAAGCTAAGAAGCTTACAATATTTACTTTACATGAATGAATAAGCAAATTAACCATCCACTACTTGTATTTAGGCAATAAATATTTAAGGTGATTCCGCACAAGAGGGTCCATAGTGAAAGCTGGCGAATTTTCATAGACAGAGGAAGCTCATAATGTTAATTGATGAATACATGTACTTTGCAAAAATTCTTCAAAGGCTAAGCATTAAGGAGTAATAAACATGAAACTGAAATTTTAACAAAAATAATATTTACCTTGAATTATTAAATTTCTAAATATCAAACAGAGTTTGAACTTTCTTAGAGTGCAAACAGATCTTATTTCCAAATAAATGCCCATCAAAGCATACATTGTGTGTAAGAAGGCGCTCACCAGTTTAATGGCTTATGAACTTCCTCTACAATGAAAATGCAGTCAAATTTTAAAATTCAACTTGTATTTCTTCTAACAGTGAAGTGGGTTTGTCTACCATGTATACAAGAAATAGATAAAATATATTATTTTATGTCTCTTGCATTATATATACTTTCTAACTCATAACGCAGTGGCCATTTTTTCAAGATCAGAGAAACTGCCTTATTTTAATTTAATTATATTAGATATTTGTGTTTGTTGAAAAAAAAATAGCACCTGTCTGCACAACAAGACTTCAAATAGGATTTGCCATTTATGAAATGTGCATAAAACGTTACAAAAGACTTCACTTGGTCTTCAGAAATTTAGTGATTCCAGATAAAAAGTTTATAAGTTAACTGTTATAATTAACAGTTTTGTATTTATTATCCCTTAATGCTTAGCCTTTGAAATGTTTTTTTTTTCGTTCATCATTTTACATTGTGATTTTAGTCTTAATTAATATGAAAATTGACCTTCTTTCACTATGGGCCCTGTCAATGAAAATCAAACAAGGATGACGATGCAGAATCACCTTAAAATCAATATATGAGCCGCGTCACGACAAAACCAACATAATAGGTTTGCGACAAGCATGGATCCAGACCAACATGCGCATCCTCGCAGTCTGATCAGGATCCATGCTGTTTGGTTACAAACCCTATTATAAGTAGAGAAACTGATAGCGAACAGCATGGATCCTGATCAGACTGCGCGGATGTACAGGCTGGTCTGGATCCATGCTGGTTGCAAACCCAATATGTTGGTTTTGTCATGACGCGGCTCATATAGCTTATAAATTCCTGACGGTAAAAAATGATATCGTGCACTTTTTATTCAAAATAAACGAAAATACAAGTCTTACTCATTCAACCATAGGCACTTGATGGCAAAAAAGTTTTTTTATCGACATGCTATTGTCACCGACTACCCGCCGTGATTTATATATTTTCGCGATAGCTCAGTTGGTTATACCACTGATTTTCACTCCTGAGGTTCCGGGTTCGATCCTGGGTTATAACCTTGGGATTTTTCAGAGACACTTTCAGTGTTTCCCACCTACTAACCTAGAGGTGTACTGGTAAGAAATCCAGGTAATCCTCGCATGTATCAGTGCTATACTTTGGACATGTTTACAAAAGAACCAAGGGGTCTATTCCAGAGCTAGGGACTGGTTCCCAGATTCCCTTGTATCTCATAGCTGTCTCTTAAAAATGTATACAATGTATACCTGCTTAGAGTGATCGTAAACTATTTTAAAGCAGTAGTGTAGATCTAGAACTAGAACATTTTTCTTATCTATACACACACATATATCAATTCATTCAAAATGATTTATCTACCGACAAAACGCCCTTTTAAAAAAAATATATATCTACTGTGTATATATAAATTTATATGTTACACAGCAGATAGATCTAGATACATGTATCTATTTTAAAAAAGGTGTTTTGTGCATTCAACTTCAAAATACTTGTCGTCAGGTAAACAATTGTATATTACAATAAGTTTTACTATACGCCTCAAGCGTTAAAAGCACGAGAAAAACACAAAACATGAAATAGATAAAAAGAAGAAAACCCTTACACTTCCAAAATAAAACTCCAAAATTGATTTAAGTATGTCACCACTTTCAGTAAATTGGTTTTAAATATTTCCTGAAATTCTAAAAATAGCTACGATTAGTAGGTCAACTTAAAAATAGAAAATCAAGGGAGGATATCAATGCAAATATCGTAGTTATCTGGAGTTCCTTCCCCTTATACTACTAGTGAGAATGACGTCTGGATTGTCAATACGTTTAACAATAATAATATCAATAATGATAAACTCTTTATTTAACGAAGGTAACTTATTAAGAAAATACATCAAAGCATTAGATACAACAAATATAATGCAAAATCTTATTTTCAACAAGGCCTTCAATAAAACATAAAAATAACAACGGACATATTCAAGCAATTGTATTTAGATTTTATAATACAACATTCAGTACATCTTAATCAACAAAGAAGACAAACATGATATTATGATATAGTATAGGTAAATTTTCTAACCACAAACACGGACATGTGCTCTTTTATTAATAAACATCCACTTATCTGATAATTAGAATTAAATATGCATCGCTTTGAATTCGTATTCTGTCTGCTGCTTTTTGTGTACTGCTGATATTGTAGAAATTTGTAGTATACTGTGCTCCTCTTAGTTCACGGTACTTTTAATTAACGTACGTTTTGAAGCAACATGAAACTTATGGTACAAAAAATGTCATAAGCTGTAACATATAGGTATTTTCTGCTGTGTGTGACGCAAGGAAACAACAATATATTTAGTCAAAATCAGTTTAAATGAGCCAGACGTAGACTATATGTCGGCCATTTTGAAAACAATATGTCATCATTTAAATCGCGGTAATGGTGTTTTATTTCAGTTTTTTCGTGTTTCAGTTAAAATTTCTACATGTTATTTTGCATAATTTTGAATATTAAAAATATCTTTACATTGTTACTCAAAATGTATTTTTTCAACGAACAAGAACATTTAGAAAATGATGATTGTTTCAGACATACGCACTCATTTAATGGACTATATAATATTGCTTTTTGCAGAAGTTTGTAGAATATGTTGTTCTGTTTTACGTAAAAATCTAAAGATTTAAAATATTTTGCACATAAACTTTGTTGTATAGGTTTATGAATAAAATACGTCAATTCTGGCCAATTTTAGCATTGGTCACATAAAAATATGCCATTACCATGAAATAAGTGATAACGCGGAATTAGTGATGTTGAGTATATATACTTTATTTACTTACCCACTGCTTATTTTGTGTAATAACAGACTTAGCTACTTAACTTTATTTGGATATCTCTGATTCCTTATGGAGAAAATAGTGTTTGATTTTAATTATATAATTATTGTACAGCAGTAGGTAATTATTGGCTAAATGATGTCAAATTTAATAGCAAAGATGATACCAGATATTTTTAAAGTTTGATAATAAAAAAAAACTACATGGTAAATGTATTTTATATTTCGCATTATCAACCAATATATAGAATGTTTAGAAAATTTATGCAAACTTTGAAAACAGCCCTTCATTATGGTAAATTTTAGGGATATTTTGAATAAGGCTTTTTATAAATAAGAGTTTAAAGTGGGTGGGGTAGTATAACATTTTTATACATATGGAAAACATTTTGTTTAGAAACAATCATTTTGCTCGTGTAATTTGTTACCTGAATGTTATTATTTCTTTCTTAACAATGAGCAATAGGAAAACATTTTTCGTAATGATGAATTATAGATTATTTGGAGTTTCCTAATTTCTGAAAAAAAAAAGCCCTTCTAAAAGCAAAGTTTTAGTTCAGTAATATATCCATAACTCATAAACCAGGCAGTAATTATTTTATACAGGTGACCTTAAAGACATATAACTGTCATATGTTGTCAATTTTACAGTTCCTTTTACTGCCTATTACCCATGAGTCTACCTTAAGGAAGTAGCCATAAAGTGTGGCTTTTATAAAAAATGAACATACATTGTAAATGATTTCATGATGCAAGTAGAAACTCTAGTTATGCAAAATTCCGCATGACTGTAACAGTGAAAAATCTAAACGCAGTCGTTGCAACTCGTTGCCCTGCAAGATGAATTATAGTAGATCAAAATAACCTTATACATTGTATATACACAATAATATCCAGATGCACAACTACACATGCTGATCAACATTTCTGTAAAGTGTCATGACTCCAGGTCAAATACTTTTTGAGCTACGTACGACACAAGTTGAAAATTGCAATTCAAGTCAAGGGCAATAAATCTAAAAAATACTAAATATATCCACATGAAAATACCCAGGTGCACAACTTCACATGATGATCGACATTTTTGTAAAGTTTCATGACTCTAGGCACGGATTGATATTACAAATATAAATCCGTGCTCTATGTCAAATACTTTTTGAGCTATGTACGACACAAGTTGAAAATTACAAATTTTTACTAAGTTAAGGGCAATAACTCTAAAAAAACTAAATATATCCCCACGAAAATACCCAGGTGCACAACTACACATGCTGATCAACATTTCTGTAAAGTTCCATGATTCTAGGTCAAATACTGAAGGACGGACGGATGAACGGACAAGGGTAAATCTACCCCCCCCCCCCTAAAGTGGGGGCACAAAACTCACGTCCTAGGCATAATGTGCCTTCAATTAGACTGTCGGTGCTCAGTAAAAGCACTTACTTTAATAATTTCCTAACCTATATATTTGCCTTCGGATACTGTCACACATATTTTTCTTTTCGTATCTACAAGTGATTTAGCTTTTTTGTTTCCTCAGATTTGAAATTTCGATATCGATCTGGAACAATAACATGTTTGAAAAGGAGAATTTATATGTTACTTGCTACTTTTAAAATTGTATGATAACTCTTATATTAACCGCACTGGAATGGTTTGTACAAAAGGAGGCAAAGGGACGGTTTGTACAAAAGGGGAGAGGTAACTCAATAACTGAAATATTTACCGTATTTTTTTATCTTGAAAATAAATTCTGTATTTATAGAAAAAGCTTTAATTTTCTGTTTATGACATACTTCTTCTCTTTCTTTTTTTTACCTTACAGTTCTTAAGATTTCTCCTTTTATTTCGTGTATTGACTGAATAAAGGAGAACGTAGTCCGGCAAGATATCAGTGAAAATAAGGAAAATATGTTTCACTGCAGTGAAAAATAAATTTTTACAGTGAAAATTAGAAAAAAATGGAAACATGCAATTTTATTTCATCAACATTTCTCAATATTTCATTTATAAGTTCTCGTATATAACAAATTAGTATGCTACCCTGTAACATCGGAGATCCAAAAGTATAAATAGTGATTAAACCTAATTGATGTGCCGGTTTGTAGTGATTTATAAACGTACCAGTAATACGGTCTTGAAGTAAAGTATTCGGATTCTTTGATTTTGTCTTTTTAACCCTTTACCACATATATACGCGAAACAACGCACTTTTGACCCCCCCCCTTTTTTTAGGCCTCAAATAGTGAAAAAATGTCCTATTTGGGCCCCAAACATAAGTTTTCGTTTGAGAAATGTTGCTTAAAAAATTGAGCACTTTTTCGGCGCCGCCCCCCATCCAAAAGATACATCAGGGGGTTGCCAGAAGGGGGATGTGCCCCCTTCTGTTAGGGGGGTTTGAAGGGGGGCGGAGTCCCCCTCATCGCCAAGAAAATTTTGGACTTGTGAGAGGCTAAAAATGACCCCAGGTCGATCATAATGTAACGTTTAACCAACGATGAAAAGCCTTTGACTCTATCTCAATCCCTTGAGCAGTTGCAGCACTTTGAAATCAATTTTGATGGAAAAAATCGAGGCAAAATAGTGATTTTTGGCAATTTTGAGATGTCCCCTCGTTGCCATGGTAACAGGAAATTTAAGACTGAGCATGTCCTTACAAAGACAATGGTCCAGTCAACATTTGTGCAAAGTTTAATTAGTATTGAAGCATTTTTCATAGTTTCATAGCAGTTTGAACTTGTAACAGGAGGCTTTTCAGTGAAAACGGCCATTTTTCACAATATGCTCATGGGGAAAGGGTTAAAAAGAAAAAATCAACAAAAAAAAAAAAAAAAAAAAAAAAACAAAAAAAAAAAAAAAAAAAAAAAATATCAATCAAACGGAAATGGTCATTCCGATATAATGAAATATTGGTATTCTTCATCACTTCACAATAATTGATATATTGTGTTAGTGCCAACAAGAAAAGCTGTATAACAATCAAAAACATATTCATTTTGTCAATATATTTGATCGAAAACTTGACGCCTTTTGTCGGCACAGCCTATTTCGGAATGGCGTTGAATTGCGACAGGAAGTTCTTTTGTTCTCACTGCTCTTTATTCAAAGTTTACTTGGTATCCCCGTATGAAAAAGGTTCCGTTACTGGTTTGTTATCAAATAGAAGATAGTTTACACGCAGTGACAGTGCGAGTCAAGTTTCAATAGAATCTCAGAGATTTATCCAATCATTAATTTCACAAAGCTTACTAAAATACTATGGTTTACTTTTTTGTAATGAAAAATAATATGTGATAAAACGAGAGGAAACAAGGACAAAATAACGAAACGAGTAAAATAAAAAACAAGAAAGGAAAGATTTAGGAATTATTGAAGGATTTACTCATTAAATAACAATGTACGCTTATATTTGTTTCTCTAACGATGCTTTTATAAACATTCATAAACGATCAAATTTTTCCGCCTTATTTGTCATTTTAATTTAACTATACTTTAACTGAGTTAACACTTTGTTTTCTAATTTTAACTTTGAAAAATTTTATTGTAATCTTTTAGCTCAAGACTTTTGAAAAAAATAATTTTGAGACAATGTGTCGAATCTTATCATGTACGAAAAGGACGTACTATTTTCTACGTTAAATTCGATTGATCTAAAATTGTGCCGTCTTATACACATTTTATAATTCGAAATCTTTTATAGAATTTCAATGTATAATATTTCATATTAATATTTTTTTCCGATTTTTTTCTAAAATTGGATTAAATAATATTGCCGTTTTTGATAAAAACTTTCAATCGTATCCTTTCTTTTTGTTTAGATAGGCCAAATCCTAAGACGGCTCAGGCTCGTTTATGATATTCTGAAAATGGCTGTGCGCAGACAGACTTTAAGCATTAACGAAACAATAACACAAATATGGAAGTTTTATGAACTTTACTATTGTCATTTATTTCAAAAGTCAAAGACTTATCCCAGAAAAAATCATTGCTGCGGATAGACAAAACTATTTGTTTTATTATGGCTAATAGTTGTTTCAAAGCTTAAAGTTCAGACAAGTTTGATTTTTTATTACTCATTACAACGTACCCTTGCCAGATAAATAAATGGTATTTTCAGAATATATTCCTATTTTTTTCTCTATCAATAAACGTATAAAATTATTTGATATGCTAACTTTCATTTTCAGTATAACATACTGTGTGGCAAAAGAAAGCGTGCTCTATGAAAGCTCTTTATACTTATTACGGCAAAATATGAAAATTTAATCACATGTATTATTAGAACTTTGTTTTCGGCATAAAAAGCGGACGGGTGAAAAGTTTGATCTTAGGGTTGAGCGCATTTTTGGATTAGGATACTTAGATACATGAATTGTACGCTAATACAGCCAACTCCAAGACGTTGCTTCACGTCCGTGCGATGAAGAATTTTTCTGTGAATCCATAGACGAGGTAGACACATACGATAATGATGAACTATCTCGTTTATAAAGACAAAACACTTTTCATCCCTCTGCTAATTAAGCTTAAAACGCACTATTGATAATGATAAAGAATTCTAGTATTAAAAGTAAACCATTGTGAAAGCTATGCTATTGATATAAGAAAGATTATACGTTTCAATATTTCAGGATTCCACATCTCCAGGTGTTTCTAATCGTTGTCTTATTTACAGGTATGTTGTTTAATTTCATATTCAAGCTGCTATATTAATGAATGTAGGCTTATAACATAAAGAAACAAATGATAGTTTTTTTGTCAAAATAAGACATGTACGCATTACAAAGTGCAGAGGCGAAGAAATAAGATGTGAAATGAAGCGTAATAAAATGATCGTAAATAACTATTTACCACTAACCGTACAAAATGTGCCAAAACTTCTTGTGTATATACATATTTATCAAGTTAATAAAATATTTTTTTCTATCTTATAAAATAATTACAAAAAAAAATAAAAAAAATAATAAAAATAATAACTATGATAAAAAGTGAATAAATAAATGAAAACTACACTATAATAGATAGGATCTTACATTCTTTGTCATTTATATTATTGGCGTCCGCGCCGAAGCGCGGCGCCTATTGGAATGAAATGAGATTTTGTGAAAGGGCGACAGCAACTTCTCGAGCCTTTTATAGTTGCCAATAATAAAAGCCGATCATTCCGATCGGTATGAGGGTGCTTGATTGTTAATTAGTCGCGATATGTACAATGAATGGCGAACGGGAGAATTTCGCAATGCAAACATTTTCAAATGAAATAACCTTTTCCGTCAATAAATCGCGCTCTTCGGGGTATTTTTGCTTATCATTTTGTAGTACACAGGTTATTATGGTATGTTATTCCTATGGAAGCACTGGAGGGCCCTTTTGACTTCTGACTTAATGACTTGGGAGTTATGACTTTTGACTTGGGAGTTTTGACTTTTAACTCAAGACTTATTACTTCTTAGTTGTTAAAATTAATTAATTAAGCCACACTTTAAGAGAGCTTGTGAGTAATGAGCGATGATGGTTGTGTTGTGTCAAAATATGAAATTCGTGTTTGCGTGTTGTTTTCTGTGATCTCTGTTGAAGATAACAGCTGGTGTGGTCCCAGCTTACCTGCCTTTGTCGTCAAAGCATCACTCATTGAAGAATATTTCAAACAAGGTTTTAAATACAGTGAATTCTTGGATTTTTGCTATATAAGCATTGTACTTTGTTGTCACTTGCGTCAGCTGAAAAGAATCTTGAAGAAGTTGAACCTGCAACGTCGAGGTGTACATTTGCAATCGCAGTTGAAAAACGTTGTTCGTGTATTGGCACGGAAATGCATTATAGTGGACAGTCTGTCGGTTATCGGACGATATGGGCGCCGGTTTAAATGTGCATCATAAAATGGATGTAAGCCATAAAGATGTTATGGACATAATGAAGGCAATAGATCCAAATTGTGTTGAAATGAGGAAAGCACATCGACTTAAAAAACGTTTCTATTGTGCAAAAGGGCCAAACAATATTTGGCATTAAGATGGTTATGATAAGTTGAAACCATTCGGATTTTTATACACGGAGCGGTAGATGGTTTTAGCAGGAAAGTTATCTGGTTAGAAGTTTCTGACACTAACAACGATCCAAAACTGATTGCGATATATCATTTGGATGCATTGAAGCGCATTGAAAAAACACCTCGCATACTTCGTTGCAAAGCTGGAACAGAAAGCAGTGTTGTTTGTCTTCTACAGCAGTTCTTTCGGAATGAAAGCAACCCGACCACTTTGCTGGTAGTCGCAGCGTTATTGTTGGGAAGAAGCACTTCTAACCAGCGCATTGAAAGATGGTGGGGTACGCTACGTCAACAAGGAATACCAGTGGTGGATTAACTTGTTTAAGAAATTTGCGCGATTTCTTGGTTTTCGTTTCAATGAAACTCGACCAGATACATTGTTAAAATTGTGAAATTTTTGTTTTTATGAACCTAATACAAAAACATCTGGATAGAATTGCTAAAACAGTGAAATTGTACATGGAAATTATACCTCAGCACAATTCCGACGCACTTACGGAAAACCTACATAATGTATTTTTTACCTGAAACGTTTGGCGCGCTTTGATTATGGTACCGGTGGTTGACACACGTGATATGACCTGTTGTAAAGGACATTGTATTCAGTTCCAAAGAGAAAGTTTGATGAATTCAAAGAATTGGCTTATCTGTTAAAGCCGACCTCCAAATGCCAGTAGATACCGATTCAGCATTGAATTTGTTCTTGGAGTTGAATGATTTAATGGCAAACTCGTATGAAGACTGAAGTCTTTTTAAGCCATAAAGTTGTTTTGTGAGAGAACAAATGATCAACACGATCCATCATTATCATCATCATCTACATCATCATGATTATCATTATAAGTATGTTAACTGCAATAATGATTGTCATGATGCTGCTCCTCATGATAAAGGTCGACTAAATAATTTAAATAATTATGTTGTTGATGATAAGCAGAAGTTGATTTCGATGATAATGATTAAAATCATGACGATGATGATAACTATATTAAGGATGATGATCGTGATGATGTTGTAAACTAGTATAATATATTTTTATAGTTCATAAGTAAGTGGCATATGTTTATTCTTATGTTTGACAGTCAATTATAACAAACGAATTTGTCACGAAAGTCAAATGTTATTTCTACGTTCAAATACATCATGGCTCACAAAGGTCTGTTTGTAACCGTTAACGTTTCAGTCAAGTAAAACTACGGACCTGTGACAAGTGTAGACCCAGGTGTGCAGACTTACTAGGGTCTATATACTTAACTTTCAGTTAATTAGAATCTGGCTATTAAAATAAATTCACTGCCTCACGTTCATCTTTGTAGAGCAAACGCCCTAGTACGAAACTTGCACAGGATATCTAGCCAGTACTACCGTATTCTTCCTAGTAATCGCCCAGGGCGCTTATAAAATTGTGAAAGGTGGGCGCTTATTAGGAGTGAGGTCTTACAAAAGTATACAATATGTAAGAGTCACAGCTATGCAAATTCTGTTGATATCTCGTATTTAAAGTGGTCCCGTTTACTGGCAAATCACTACAATGGGGTTGAAATGTGAATATTCACAGTCTTTCCTAGTACAGTGAAATTTTCTAGGCCCGCGGACATGCATAAAAAATTAAAATGTCGATTGTGGTCAGTTTTTTTTCTTTTAAGACAATTTATCTTGGGCGCTTAACCACTTACAAATGGAAAAGAAGAAATGGGCGCTTATAGAAACATTGGCTCTTATTAGGGCGAATAGATAGTTATAGGTAGTAAGGTCAGCTTCAAAATTTCTCGCATTTGTAAAGCTAAGGACGTTTTAAACGATATTGCAATGTCTCTTTGTGCACAATGGTCTGACTTGTGGCTTCGTATTTCTGACAAGAGACTTCCTATTTTTGACTTTTGACTTCTTACTTGTGACTTCCTACTTGTGAGTAGTGACTTCAAACACTTGTGGTCTTGACTTTACGTATCGACCTTTATTACAAATGCATGGAATTAATATATGGTTTGGGGATTGGCAAAGGAACAGATATTCAACCGCCATGAAGCTGTACGTGTATCATAAAATGCAACTAAAAATATAATTCGAGGACTTGGTGCAAAACAGTTGTATCTCCTTCTTTATCTAGTTTTAAATTACAACCGTTTCGCAATAAGCCTCAGAGGGATTAAAACAACTAGACTTTTTTTAGCCCTAGTATAAAGCGCCCGTGTAGGGCAAGGTCATGCACCAAAACTATGATTTTTTGTTCTTATTCCACCAGTCTATTTTACTCTAGCAAATTAAAGATTGGCATAGCACAGCTTTGGATACGAGACACCAGCACACGGAAAGGTGGTTCTTTTTTGTTATATTTTTCCTCTAGATGACAAAACAATATCATTCTCAGCAAAGCTTCTACTTAAGCTCACGCGAATTAAATACTACAATAAGAGCGTCATGGGCAGCACACTCGACTATTCTTAGTTTCTTGGTAGTAAAATGAAAAACCATCTTAGTCGACAAGGCAGTCAATTTTAACAAAAAGCTTGACAGAGTTATCTACCCATGTCTAGGGTTGGGGTCATAAGTGGTTAACAAGTCTGCAAAATTTCAAAGCGATATCTTAAAGAAATTGGAACATAATTGATGTGGTATGAAAAATTGGACAGAAACATTAAACTAACGCCGACGCCCGGATGAGGTGAAAGTTCTCCTTAGTCTTGAATAGTCGAGCTATAAATTACAGGATGTAAAATCAAGGACGATTAACACAATTGTGTTCTAAAAGCACAACATGACAATATCTTTTTTAAAAATGCTAGTATTTATTTATAATATTGATTTAAAAAAGAGCTTTTATTTAGCAATAAACAATTGAAGTAGAAACAAATCAGTGTTCCATTTCTTGGAGCAGCGAACTAGTAGTTGGGGGCTGTTTTTTCTTCTTTGCCTTTCTATTTTGATGTTGTCTACGACTTCCTTTATACGTTGTTTCCTATGTAGATATATGTCCTGTAAATTACAAAAAGAAAAAATTTCGAAAGGTGCCTCATTTTGTGCTTCATTTTATCAACATTGCTTACCTGGTTTTTTAATAATTATTTAATCACTGTTGCACAAGAGATAGTATTTTGTGATTTTGTGTACTTCATTCAAACATTCTCAATTAATTGAAGTTTCAGAATTACAATTTTCTAATACTAACCATTAACGACACAAAGTATACTGTCATGAGATAATCAGATTACACATGGTTAAGTTGTTTTAATAAAACATAGCAAATATATTCCGTTACTAATCTTTATTACAAATGGCATATTCTTATTAATGGGAGGTAATTATGGGAGAACAGGATACATATCGGCAAGTCGATGACCTATGGGAAGGTAGCGGGCACTACAAACATATTTTTTGATTTGACCTAAGCACAATTAAAAACTGAATCACTTTAGTTTAGAAGGACTAACTTTATCAAAGTTAATTCTTCTTTCAAGTAAGCTTAAATTCAATGAATCTATGAAGCGAAAAGCACAGTATTACGGAATACCGTTAGGGCCATCGTGGTTGTACGTTTATGTATTCCAGAGAGCTACAATGTGATAGTGCGACAACACGATGGTGATAGTACGATGACGACAACGCGATAACACGAGGACTACAATGCTATATAGACTATCACATTATTGTCATCGTACTATCGCATTGTCGTACTGTCGTCATCGCATTGTCGCCATTGCATTGTCGCGTTGTCATCATCGCACTATCGTACTATCGTCACTGTACTCTCGTACTATCGCCATCACGTTGTCGCACTATCACATTGTCGCTCTCTGGATTATAACGTTCAACCACGATGGCCCTAACGGTATTCTGTACAGTATTACTGATAGCAAAGTTTTTTTTAATATTTTGATTTCTGACAAGGTCTAGCTGATCAACTAGCTAGCTGAACCAAAGTGTTTTTGAGCCACTTATGGCCTCCTGGGTCTAGTTCTGGCTTTCAAATATAATATGCCGTTTTTTTTCATCTGAGGAGGCATTTTGTTCCCGTAATGTACAGTAAACTATAAATATGGGAACGTCGAATGTGTTTGACTAACCCGAATCCAGTGATAAATCTAATTCTCATATACATGGAGATGACCAGATGAATAACCTTGATGAATAAAAGTGGTATGTAATTGTATTTTATGCATAATCAGTCATTTAAAGAAGAGTGTTTCTTCTTTTTTAGTTTTGTGAATGGTATTAATAAACTAAACGAAATCGATCATTCCGACAACCTTTTCTATGTACATGTATATATAGTGGTCAGAATAATTATGTATATATATACTTGTGTAAAATAATTACAACGATTCTTGTATAAACACTTATCATAGTATCATCATTTTATATCAGTAAATGCATTTTGTAATAATTCAACCTTTACAAGAAGCCAATAACTGATTTGGCATATATTTTGAAAACTCGAGCTTATCTGCAAGTTTAAATCTTAGTACTTATAAGTTTCATTAAGTATAGATTGTTTGATTGATGGAAGTTAGACTCGGTTCCCCCGTAAGGCTTGAAAGGAGTCACTTTTCTCACATTGAGGGATGTGTTAATTTCTTATGGTAAACGCATCTAGATCTCAGTGAACAAAAATACACAGACCGTCCAAATTGTATTGCCCGATTAGTGATGGATATGTATAACATTGCTAAATTACATTATTTAAGAAGAATATTCAAGCAAACTATAAAAACTTACATCATCTGACAAATCGCTGTCCGCCATGTTGCATCTCCTTGCTTAAAATGAGCGGCAATGCATCATCACAAATTACAAGTCACAACTTAGAAGTCACAAGTCATAACTCCCAAGTCAATAGTCAAAAGTCATTAAGTCAGAAGTCAAAAGGGCCCTCCAGTGCTTCCATATATTCCGAAAGCTGTTAATAGAATGATGAGTTGATGACCTTAATATTCCGAAAATCTATTTATAGAGGGATGTACTCCTAGGTAATTCCCGGTCTCTCCCGGGATTTACTAATGACCGGCGAATAGTACCACACGTTTATTGTCCGGTCTCTCCCGGTTTTGGAGTAGATATCGTTACAGAACAGAACAAATATTTTACAGATAAATAAGCTTTTTTTCAAAAAGAATGTTTGTCACTTAGTTTGGTTACAATAATTAATAAACACAGATCAACTCTCGAATTGATTGATTATTATTATACATAAACATACAATTCGAAAAAAAAAACCAACAACACAAATCGCATGTTATATTTTATCTATATGAGATAAAAACAATAAATATGTACAATAATTGAGAAAAAAATGTACATTTTTATGGCATTAATATGACACTATCAACTTTAAAACATTTTATATAATTTGTTATTCGTGTTTAGTAAAGATTCCGAGGAATTATTCAAAGTTACAAATCAGATTTTATGAATTATTCAATTGATTGATAATTTAAAAAATGATAAAGAAAAATACAAATGTACATGTATATGGTTTAAGAATAAACAATATTATAAATTGAAAGATTAACCATGATTTACTGACTTTTTCCAGTTAAGTTTTGACTTATAATCGTCGATCATTATGACAATTGAATTCTTAAAATAGTAGTAAACGTAAAAACTCAGTATTAAAATAGCGCATAAAACACACACAAAAAAAGAAAAGAAAACAATATTCATAAAATCTGTATTTTTTTTTATTAAAAATAGAAATTACATTTATTGTATAATAAACAATTATGCTCAACATGATCAACATGGTAATATAACAAGTGTCATATTGTTACTTAGTGTGAACAGATACTTTAAGAGGGGGTCCTCGTTAATAGCAATAACATAATAAGGGACAATTACACAAGTATGGTGTTGATCATGCGTTACACATATGGATTATAAATGATTGTATACATGTATATCCGTTGCTATTAATAACAACGATCATAAAGAAATAACAAGTAATGTTCTAATTTCTAGCATGCCGATCAAAGTTATAAATAATGAACAATGTCTTTCGTCCGTTCATTCAAAAGTGATATACAATTCTGGTAAAACCCAATGAACCATTGAAAAGTTTATAAGAATATCTTGTCATCATATATCTACTAGGTCATCTGCACCTGCTGTTTGGACGCCCTTTGATGCTTTGCATCAATGCTTTTCTTGTTACTTATAACTGTTATAAGGTTGATCAGTCATAAGGTTCACAATATAAACGGATGTAAGCTTATAAACTCCAGTCACTAGGCGGTTGTTAATTGCAAATACTGCTTAAAACAAGGGAAAGTGCGTTGTAACGAATTTAAAATATTGCGTAATTAAAAGGAAAATTTTCTTTACAAAGTTGCATTAGCTGTGTTTAACAAATGACATCATGACTGTCCAATGAAAATTAAAGTTACAAACCTAAAATATTAAAGTACTATACAACATCGATAAAAAAGTGATACAAATCTTTCTGTACAAGAAAACGTAATTTTATCACAATTACTTTTATTTTTTGCTTTATAAACTTCCTTTACATGAATATTCATACTGTAATTATATACAAACAGGGGATGTTGCATCCGTGTGCTCTCTGCCACCAACCTACTTATGGTCTCTTGGTGTTGGCGATGGTTGCCAGGAATTAATTTCAAACACGACTTCCGGTGCGGCTGGGAACGTTTCTTATGGCGCAGGTTATGTTGCGTTGGAAATGTACTCCGCAATGGCTTTCCATGGTTCGAGTGATTCTTACGCAGACTTGATTTTACAGAGCAATCAGTATCCCGCAAACGTTAATGAGGACTACTCGATTAAATTCTATGTGTATTTCGAACAAATTCTAGATGGAACAATTCTGCACTACAGAAGTGATTCTTATAATGGAACAGCAACGACGGACGAAATACGAGAATTCAAAATGATTATTTCAAATGGAACAATTGAGATGATATACCCGGATATTGGTGCAGTCAACTTCTCTGAAATTGCTATTAACCCTGGACAATGGTATTCTTTCATCCAAGAAAGAGATTTAAACAAAAATGGACCCAAGTTTTTCGTAGACAATGTCAAATACGATAAAATACTAAACGAGATATTATTTCCCGGTAAGATAACTAGTTTTCCTGGCATAATACGTATAGGGTCAGATTTCGAGGGAAGCAATCCGATGTCTGGGAAACTAGGTTGCTTTCAACTGTATTCGTGTAGAACTGCTACCGGACTTATGCCTGAACAGTGCAAAACACAGGCAACTACAACAACAACAGCATCTACTACAACGACCACAGAAGCTCCTTCCACTACAACAACTACAAAAGCCCCAACTACCACAACCACAACAGATGCACCTACCACAACAACCACAAAAGCCCCAACTACCACAACCACCACAGATGCACCTACCACAACAACCACAAAAGCCCCAACTACCACAACCACCACAGAAGCACCTACCACCACAACGACCACAAAAGCCCCAACTACCACAACCACCACAGTAGCACCTACCACCACAACAACCACAAAAGCCCCAACTACCACAACCACCACAGTAGCACCTACCACCACAACGTCAGAGGCTTTGACTACAACAATGCAAGCTCCTTTTGTACCAACAGGATCAGGTAACTTATATCAAGATGATTTTTCCAAATTTAAGAAAATCCCGCTTTCATTTTTCATCTTAAAGATTCCACATGAAAACAATGCTTTATCATTTGTCTTAAATCCTGTGAAGAAAAAGTCTTAAATTCCCTCGACTTAGATAAGAGATTTCTTACATGTTTTAACAGTTAGTACCATGAGCTTTTAAAAAAAATATTTAAGGTATTATTGACATTATGTTATAAGCTTCAGCCAGTTCAGTACGGTAAGGGTCATATACAATGTAATTAATGTATCGAAAGAAATTTATTATGATTTAATACCTAACGTCAAACATTGAATGAAAAATGATTTGGAACATACGTACGCATAACAGACAAAAAGGTCAATATAACGTTTCATTGCAGAGCTTTGTAATACAGTATTTACTAATTAAGTAATTAAGTGTTGCTGTACTAAATCAAGATTGTATTTTTTTCAGGTAACATTGGGATAGAGGTGGTCGATCTTTGTTTTCACTACACAAAATTAGAAGAAAACGCTACATTCGGAAATATCCTGGACATTATCGATATAACCGTGGTATCAACTGTAGATGCGTGCGCAAAGTTCTGTGATAAAGTTACCACATGCTTTTCTTTCGCTACAGTACAGAATGGGGCTTCTCTGGAATGCAGAATTGGAAGCAAATCACCGTTGACTGCAAGTTTAACAGGGTCCATGGTTTTTGAAATGTAAAACAACACAGTTTGTCGCACTTTGTCTGCATCCTTTCATTGTGGTTAACATGTTTGATTACGGTAATACTGGATCACGACATGTCTTGAAGTTAATTGCTTTTTTACGTTACAGTATACCTTTTGATAATTGAGTAGTAAAAATAGTTTATGTTACTGGAAAATATCTGTCAGAACTTTTAAAATTTAAAATTTTAAGCAATGTCGTTCCAGTCGTTCAGTTAACATATTATTATGCCAACTTATGACTCTTTTTTATCTCATACCATACAAACTGATATGTAAGTTACCTTTTATCCTTACTATCATGCAAATTACATTATATGTTAAAATGGTCTGCCATTGATCCTTACCTAAGTAGGTTTACAGTCGTTAAGGCAACGGTTGTCTTTTACTAGAAATAAGTTACTATCTCAGAATATATTGCTCAACGCAAATACCCATTACATTTGAGGAAATTTCTCATCGTCAGAACTCTGTGGTGGTTATGAGAACGCCCTTCACTTAATTTCAGATGTATTATACTATATTTTTGTCCTAAAGGTTCATGACTTTTTCTTTAAAATCAATTCAATGACATAAATAGCAATGACTGTGGGCGTAAAGTTAAGTGCATTTCGATCAAGCAAAACATTTTTACTTGTGAAACGTATTGTATTGTTCTTATAGTAGCTTAGCTTTATTTTGTTTTATTCATGATGATATACCAGAAATGGACAAATGATTGTTCCTGTCTCTGTTGTATTATATGTTTATTTTGGGTAGCATTGTACACAGTTGTATCCTGTTGTGAGCGTAAATCGTTATCATCCAATGAAAATCGGCTTTTCAAAGTTTATACATGTTATACAACTTTACGTTTGTTACGCCGATTTCTATTGGAAAATCTTGAATAGTCGTGACATTTATACGAATATTCACAATATTCACGGTCATATTTACAATACTGTAAATGTACACATACAATACAAAACAGTTTTACAACATGCATTTGACGATTTGCAAGAGACTATAGTTCTTTATACGACTGTACAGTTGATATTTAAAGGCACAATATGCTTAAGGAGCTATTATATTTTACTGGGTGCAAAAATGCAAACGTTTTTAATAATGGTTTTGGAACATGATAGAAACATATGAGCCGCGTCACGACAAAACCAACATAATTGGTTTGCGACTAGCATGGATCAAGACCAGCCTGCGCATCAGCGCAGTCTGATTAGGATCTTACAAACCCGATAACACGTAGAGAAACTGATAGCGAACAGCATGGATCCTGATAAGACTGCGTGGATGCGCTGGCTGGTCTGGATCCATGCTGGTCGCAAACCCATTATGTTGGTTTTTTCATGACGCGGCTCAATTATGTTCTACCTCTAGAAAATAGCGGAAAATGTAAGATAATTTGTCATGAAGGTAACAAAATGTAAAAAGGTGGCATTTTGACTTTCATACAAAATACTAATTTACTAAAACTATATTCATAGTCAAAGCAACAGAAGATAAAGATGATCCAGGTAATTTGGCAATGAATAACTTTTTGGAAACTTTGAAGCTTCCTCAAAAATAATAAAAAGTTTTTCAAAAATAAAAATAAAAGCATTTCTTACGCATAATGAGCCTTAAAGATAGAAAACATTTTTTATGTTTATATTTTTTAAGTCATCATTACTTACATTAAAATTTCAACAGGCATGAAATATATATGTAAAACCCTCCAATAAGATTGTTTTTTAAGATTACAGTGTATATAAAAAGTTCTTTAAATACAAATGTTGTATCTTTATAATAAAACAATCAAAAGTCGTTGCTAATCTGTCTTTTATACACGAGAACATCTACATATATCGGTCTATCAAACATTTATTGTCGCTGGCCCACTTCTAAATTTGGCTGAACAATGCAGCCTTATGCTATCTCGTATTTAAACCAATTTAAAACAACAAGTTATATTAAAAAAGTTTTCGTAAAGTTTCTTAAACAACTCGTTTTTTTTACTATTGACACTGTTATAATTATTTGTATCAGTATCTACTTTCCTGTTGTAAACAAATCATTCATGAAAATTTTGACCATACAAGATAGATTTTGCTCAAATGTGATAATATTGATAATTCAAAGTCTCCTTGTAATTTATAATATAAACCTGTTTTGACTTAACACAAAGTGGATATGTTCTCTTTTAAATTCTACACACTATAGCTGATAACAATATGAATACATGAATGACCAACTTTACTTGACCTGTAACAGGGAAGGCAACTTCCAATACATATTCATTCTTATAATCAAAATTGACATATTCAGTAAGAATGTTATAGATTTCATTCTGGAAGGATCAGCATAGTATATCTTTTAACATATTTACTGTGTAATATCACAATAGTGAGTCAAATCTAAATTCCCATTTTTTTCAATTTAAAATCCCTGTTTTTACAATTTCTCCATTTTTTTTTTGGCTCTGTGTGCTCAATAAAATAATTTTCTATTTATTCTTTCACTTGACATATTCACAAAACTAGGCTTTTGATTATTAAAGTTTTCTTGGTTTTGCATATCGTAAGATTCAAACCAATATCCCTAGCCGGATTTAGAGTATATTTTCCGATCTTGCAGCCCTATGCTGAACAGCATTGGTACAGTGTAATGGTCGCCCAGATACATACACCATTTGAGATATGGAACAGTAGGTAGTATATCTATATGACCTGCACTTTTCAATACCTTCCATGAAAAGGCTCAATCAAACCGAGCCAGCAACATTTTCAATTTTATCGCTTTGAACATTCATTAAGGATTCCGTTTTTTTCTATTTTGTTAAAGTCTGATATAGAAAATAATAATGTTGCTTAGCTCTTGCAGGGAGAAACCCTAAGTATTTGCTTGCTTCTTGTGCAAAATCTTTCGCAATCACAAAAAGGTTAAGATGTTCAAATGAAACCATTCCGACTAATTTATACTGAGATACATTTTCAGTCAAAACATCTGATATAAACTGATATTGACATAATTATATCGACAGATGTACTTTTAAAATGAATTGAATTTGATTTACTTGCATTAATAAAGAAACATTAATACAAGTACACGAGTTATGAAACTCATTTTTATAAATATTTTGAATTACAGCATTGTCATGTATTATTATGTAGAAAAACAATTCAATGTCTTCTGCAAATAACAAAATTGAACAAAATACCCAATCAATTAAATTGAACAAAAGACCAAATTAATAGTTATACATTTGCTTCGTAGATACTTAACAGCAGCAAGATAATTTATAAACAAATTGAACAGAATTGGTGGTAAGGCACATCCCTGTTTTAGACCAGTTTTGACATAAGACCAATCTGAAAAATGTTATTAACTTTAACACAACCCATAATTAACATTATTGAAGCATTGAAAGTTTATTATCTACCGCACCATTAAGTCTATTACAAGATCTGTATCCATTGAATCGTAAGCTTTCTAAAGATCAATGAAAGAATAACAGTTTAATTCTAAAAAGGCAGACAATTTGTTTTGGGTCTGGTGTCCACAATGTTCGTTAATGATGACAAATGATCTATTGCAGTACGCCCACTTCAGAGCCAGTTCTGTTGTTTATACTAGACTTAATAGCCCCAGTTGTCTTACTTTTCAACAATTAATGTGCAATATATCTGCTTTATTACTAGCGCGGTTGCTTTACTCTTATAAGACATAGGAATACTAACATTTGAAGTCTAAATTTCGGATAATGGGTAAATATACCAAATTTTGTTTTAATTTTCTAGCATCATAACTATGCAAGAAATGTAGCAAACAACGATGAACTGGTATACATCAGGACCGGGTTGTTTAAAACATTGGTTAAAATTAACCAAAGGATAGCTTATCCACTGGTTAAATCCTTAACCAGCGGCCAGCTATCCAGTGGATAAAATTTTATTGTTCGACAGTTGGATAGTACCCTGGTTACCTAACCAGTGGATAGCGTATTTATCAACTGGTTAAGTACCACAATGCAACAGGGCTGGTTAGTGATTCTTGAAACAAAATGGCCGACTTTTTTATGAATAATATATTTATTAGAATAAAAAGCTCCCAAAGAAACACTTTTGCATGATTTGTGCTTTCTTGTCTTTGGAATAAAAAAGTGTGCCAGAGGCCTTAAAGTATTGTTAGATCTATATTTCCCTTAGACACACATAAGAAAAAAATGAAAAATATTTTTTTTCAAATTTTGAATTGAAATTACTTCCATTAGATGGGTAGAGTCACAGTACCTGTGCTCGACCAGCCCAATGCTCGACCAATACTTCTATTTGTAAACGATTTGTGCATTAAAGTGGAAAAACCCTGGGAGTTTATGTGTGCTATTTGTACCTGACCTGTAACCTCTACACTATGAACAAGTACCCTAAGTTTGGTAGAAGATTGGCCATTTTGCAGACAATATTAAACAGTACAAAAATACATTTCTACAATAAAAGTAGCAGTAAAAACTAGTTAAAACACTGAAATAATGATAATTTTGGACAAATGTGGACAATACTTTGTTAAATTGCCTTTACTCTTATGATTCCAATTGGTTGTCATTGGAAAGGCGCCAAAATATCATCAAAACCCAGCTTTCCATAAAAGGCAGGGGCTATGAACATGTTAACAAATATGGCAGCTGTACGGAAACAAAATCGGGTTGTACATTACACCAATTATCACACTTAACTATGTTTGCAGAGTGATTTTAGTAAAATAAATATGAAAATAAGTAATCTCAAACACCCCAGCATATGTAAATTCAAAAACTCTTATAAACATTTTATTTGTCAATAGCATTTCCTTCGTATCATATTTGCTCTCATATTTACATCTATAGACACTAAAACAATAATGTTTCAAAATATTTTTTGAAATAGAATTGTTGAACATAAAAAGTCATATCTGATTAAAAAAATAAAAGTTCTGATAGAGAAAAAAAACACCTGGTCGAGAACTGGTTTGGTTGCCTAAAAATATAGTGGTTTTATACCCTATATAGAACTCCGTGGTAAATTGTATCCTGATCTGTGTTGTTAAAAAGCTTTAGCTTATTGTGTGTTTGAAAGGGCCAGCTTTGTCACAAGATAAGTTTCCCAGCAAACTTTTTGTTCTGAAAGAGTTTTTATGTGATTTTGTGAAAAACTGGTTGAGCACTGGTACGGTGACTCTAATGTTCTAACTAAGAAAATGAGTACTGACACTGGTATGTTTTATTAAGAAATATGAAAGTTATGACTATTAAACTGCATTTTCTGAACTACAACAACAACAAATTTAGATTAAAAAAGGGTTCTAAAAGCACTTTTTCAGAAATGCTTCAATTTAATCCTATATGCATTTCATATGAAATGTTCTAGTTAAGACGAAATAAACATATATTTATAAGAAAAAACTGGTTTCAAACAATTTTTAATGGTTTTCATGATGGCTAAGCACTGGCTAAGGGCATTATCCGGTGGTCACAGGACTGGTTAAAGTACTGGATAAGGCATTTTATCCGATGGATAAGTTTTGAGCAACAGAATTTATCCATGGGACAAAATTTAATCAGCGGATAATGAATTTAACCACTGGTTAACACTAGCCAATGTTTTGAACAACCGGGTCCTGATGACCAGATATTCTTCTAAACTTTTCAATGGTTAATTGGATTTTACCGGAATTGTTTATTATAGAGAAAGATATTGTTCCTCGTGAACTTTGGTAGGCTTGCTAGAGATAAGAATGTTAAATGTATTTTTTTGGAACATACAAAACAACAGTCAAAATCAACAAAGTCTTTTTTTATTATTATAATTGTAACAAATATACAAACAATATACGATAAAGAAACAAAAGGGACAAGTGTAGTATTATAACACGCATTTTTTTCAAGTCGTATTAAAAATGGTTTCTATTAATACCTGGGACTTAAGACACATGTAAGATACAGTGGTTGTATTTCAAGTCCCAGATAAATACTGAAAGTAGAACACTGGATTGAAAAATTTGGGAAAAATTCCAATAAGAGCAAATTCAGATTTTTTTGTTATACGTGTTTAAAAAACAATATTGGTACATTAAAAATTATGAATGAATTTGCATGGTATTTTGATATGGTGAAACATTATTTTTCAATATATAATGGAAGACTGTTAGCTGAATTTTAGACAGGTAAAAGGAAATTCACTAACATCATAATCATGCGAGTCGAAGATATAAAAGCTACTTGACTTGGTGAAAAATAAAGAGCTATTTTAATTGAACTATTGGGAGATTCATTTTCTATTTTGTTGAATTGCTTCAAAATCCTCGTCTGACCCACCACTGTGTTTACTTTCCCATCAATTAACCCAGAACACATCATGTTTAAAAGGAGAGGAAAGTCTGTTGTTAAAATGTCACAGTATTCGTCAAATCAACATTACACTCGAACCACTATAAAAGCGATTGCCTTCAAACAAAAAAGAATCAACTTCTTACAGCAAACATCCGGGAAATCAGGGTCGACTTAAATATTCACGGTAAAAATGTCAGAAGTGCAATCAGGGCCGTAAAAAAGAAAGGAGCTATTGATTTACCGCAAAACCTACGGAAAAGACAAGTTCAAAATGTTTATATTATGAGAAAACAATTCGTAAAAAGCCTTCTTAAATTATTTCGAAAAAATTATAAGGAGTGCAATTTATTGTTGAATAAGCTTGCATTTCATTTCCTGCAAAATTCTCCAGTTCGTTATTTATTACCAAAGCGCGTCACAAATGACCGTTTCGTTTAGTTTCAACTACTACTTTAAATAGATTTTCGGACTTTCACAATGTTGAGGTCATCTTTTTAAATTATAGCTTTCGAATTTTATGTATAGCAATAAAATACATACATAATCCACTGTATACTACAGAATAGTAATTTCCTGTACAAGATACATATGTAAGAAATAAATTATCGAATTTAAGTTTATTTTTGTTTTGTCTTTTATACTACCTCCCAAACAGTTGAGGCGTGAAATTTGGTCCCGTTCTCATTCATTATATGACATGCTGCGAATCACCGAAGGTGAAACCAGTATATGACTTAACATAATAGAAAGCAGAAGGAATTCTTGCTTCCGAATTTATAAATAGCTACATGTAAACCGAAGGGATTAATTGATAAAAAATCGGGTCCATGGACAAAAAAAGTAAACACAAATAGCTCCGCGCCTGTGGGCGCGTATTACTTAAGGGCTGATATTACGTGGAAAATAACGTTCATCTTCGTTGTTACTCTCTGTCTGATACAATTACATGTATGTATACATGGTGTTCAATAAATGCTTTGTTCTGATTGTTGATCAAGTGTTATCTTGTTTTTCACCTACAAACGTTATCAGGGGTTGAAAGAGCTATGGTCGTTTACTTCTGTATTATCCAAAACAAGTGTGTATGTAAATGATGAAGTCAGCTTATTAAAGCGGCTAAAGGTGAGCATAAACTACATTGTTAAAGGAGTTTTATTTTATCTTAGTAAAGTAGTATTCTGTTAAAATTATGTGAACTAAAAGCGTTCATTATTATTGAAAAAAAAGACTTATATAAATGTTTATAGACAGATAATGTAAATGTGAAACTTCTCTCACGCCTCCTCCCCAGCACCGCACTAAGCGATAAAGGTATTCAATTTTCAACAATAACGTGTTCAAGTTAAATTAGAATCAAAAGTTTTTGTAAAAGTTGTGTTCATTGTTAAATGTTCTTGTATTTGTAAATATATTTTTAAATGTTGTTACAATTTACTAAATAAATCATAATACAGGTGAAGATTTTTTTAACTTTTATTAATATTCATCAAAGTATTCGTACTTTCTTTACAATAAATGTACTGCAAATTCTATATTTTATTGCAATTGCAAATGTTTGGTCCTTTTCGTCATACTTCGGATATCATTGGGAATCGACGAGAACTTCCGAATGTGTTAACTTAAAATCGTGTAGTAGTTCAAGTGGGTTTGATTGATATATTTGAAAAGGATCAAGCATGCTTGTTGATTTAAACTCGAAATTCTAAATTAGCCACCGTGAACTTAAAACAAATTATCAATGACAGCCGTATATTTACTTTATACATTTAGTCAATAAATCGCCTTTTTTACCAAATGTTTTCATACGCTATGAATATCAACAATAGATCTTGGTATTGTTTTCACTTAATAGATCACTAACTACATTAATTTGTATCTGAGGGAGAGGGAAGGTCGAAGAGGGCCGACCGCTAATGTTGTAAGAACTTGGGCCCAACCCGTTTGCTTTTGCTGTTTAGAATACATATGAAATTTGTATCTGTATTGTGTATACATGTATATAGCAATAAAATATGATTAAACTAATTTGTCTCTGACTGGAATTAAATTTTAACACATGTACACAAACGTTCCTTTATTTTGTTTGGGTGTTACACGGCATGATACAACAATAGTTTTTTTATATAGTGACGTGAAGTTATATACGTAGTTGTTTCTTATCAATTTGTTTTGCTGAATTGTTTACCTCATAACTAATAATAACAAAAAAGATAATGTGAAAAGGGAAGCACATCTTTTTCTAAATATAGAATTTGTTCTTTTTTAAGTGAATGAAGACGTGATTTTAAAACGTCAAAGAAACATTGTTTTGTCAAAAATGAAATGCATTTGTATTGTGCCAAAATACGCAGTACTTGTCCTAACTCTTAAAAATAAGCACACAGTATGTCACGAAGGAATATAATTTAATTGACTCGGTTTTTTCATAGTTTTATGAGAAGATATTTATGTTTAAAGTAGCAAAATAGAGAAAAGGGGAAACCCTAAAAATCTCCAAAAAGTCAATATTGAAAATGTTCCAGGCTCGGTTTGATTGAAGCTGTTTATGGACGGGAGTGAAAATTAAAATCTACTATCTACACATCCAAGCACCGGCTTAAGCAGTTTCCTAATTTCAAAAAGAAAATTGTTACATTTAAATTTACAAATATTCGCTGATATGTTCATTGTGCGATGATAATGGAACCTTTAGTGTGACACATTCGTGGCATTTGATGAATGGCGGTGTATGATCCCCAACATCAAATATTACTATAGTCTAAAAGGAGAAAACACTGGGCGAAACTAAATAAAATGAAATTTAGAAAGGGGATAAGAGGTAATGAAGTCGGAATATCACAGACAAGCTGTCAGAGGAGCAGGCAACATATCTTGAAAGTTATTATACAGTATTGTAGGAAGAATACTTGATCCACCTAACAAGGAAAATATTAGATAGGAGAAACTATAAAATACCACAAACAGTCACGTTATCTATTTTTTACAATGGAAAAGAAGATATTTTTTCACCTTGCTCATTTTGACGCTAATTTGACATTATTAGTCCCGGAAATTAACGAAATGTTTCGGATTTTGACGAATTCTTGAAAACTTTATTGCCTTTAGTACTTTACACATTTAATTTTAAGACTGTGACAAGGACAATTAAAATATATCATGACGTAATTAAGACAGATTAAGGAAATAAAATAATCAACAACCACAAACTAAAATCTAAAACTTCAAATGAGTAGCTTTAAAAACAGTGCAGTGAGATATTATCTTATCACCAAGTGAGATAAAATTGTCAACAATTTATATTCGACAGTTTAACAAACAAAAGATAACGCCGATTTTTACATACCATTATTCACGATTCAAATATGATTTGAAAGGTTTAAACGTTTATTAAACAAATCGAACCGTTATCAGTGCTTCATTGAAACCCGGATATTTTATATGTTAAAATGTCGTAAAAACACTGTCTAGCTATAGTTTTTGCTAAACAATATAGGAAATATGGCAAGAGAGAATTCACCGATCAGCTTGTGTTTGAAGTACATACTTTTCTTTGAAAACTTCATCATCTGGGTAAGTTGTAAATGTATTATTTTATCATCCGTTATTGTACATGTATACTTTAATATAATATAAAATTTTACCCGTAGCCAGCTGGTGGGAACTGAATCTTCCCATGCGACTCGTGCAGACCTAGATCAGCCGGCACATCCGCGACATCTGACCATGGCCTACACTGTTCGCTATTCCTTTTTAAATTGTTTTTTTTATATAGGTTGAGTGAATGGATAAGTCCTTTTAACATATTAAGCGTGGAAAGAATTAATATGCCAAGCAAGGTCGCGTCTCGTCTCTTTGAGCAGTACGCTGCCATTAGATTGGCCTTATTTCTTTTGGCGTTACATTTTAAAGATCCTGTTGTAATTGAGGTTGTATACCACACTTAAGTGAAATTTTATATATGTATATCAGTATGCTTACAAAACAATTTTCAAACATCGAAGAATATGTAAAATATGTACTGCAACTATTTATACATATTATATGTAATCATTGAAATATATGCATTCATTTCGAATTGTAAAATTTGACTTCAACTTTATAGAAAATAAATTTTTATTACCTACCTTTATTTACATGAAATGTTAAATTAGGTAATATCTTTATAAATACATGAAATGCTTTTTGGAACTTACAAAATTGATAAATCTTAATTTGAGCATCATATTTATGATGCAAAACCATAAAATATTGTGTTACAGGATCTTAAATAAGAAGGGTATAATAAACTTTATTAAATAAGTGATTTGTCATAGCCTAAGGCAAATAATATCTCCAGAAAATTCCATAAATGAGTAACTTACCAAACAGCTCATTTGCAAAACATAGGACGATAAAAAAGTAAAATTCAGTAACATCTTACATTATACGATTATATGGAAAGTATCACAATTAATAAATATTAAAACATTGCAGTACAACGTTGTGTATGCATTTTCTTTGTGGTTTCTTCCTTTTTGTGCAGCTTTGAAAGGTATAATGTTTATTTTTTTTTAAAGTTTAACCATTAACGACCATACATCTTTTTCAAGGCCTTTAATTTGTTATACATTAACATGTAACTATTATGATATATAAAGTTAGAAAAAAACAACACTTTCGTTGGTTTTGCGCGATTTTAAACATATAAAGTGTACCAGTATAAGTAGTAAAACAATCGCGCTGTGTTCTTTATTGAGCCACTCTAGATCTTGCAAGGAAAAACAATCTACTTCACATTTTAGGAAGCTCACAAAATTATGTCACAAGTACTTCAACATCGCCTAATTTTATGACAGTCACACATCTTGCAGTTGGATCGGAAGAATCCTTTTTGTTTACTTACGAACAAAAGGACTGAAATATCTGTTTTGTTTGTTTTTGTTTTTAAAACCTTTTCAAATATTAAAAAGTATTTTCATAAATATGATCATGTTTATAAACGATCACTGTTTCAGCCAAATATTTTATTTTTAAATATTTTACGAAACTGCAAGTTTGCATAACATAGTTTAGTATGCTACATGTAATAGTGATACCTCAGATTGTTAAATGCAAAGTCATTGTAATTATTATGAGTACACTAATTTTTAATTTTCTGAGAGGAATAATAAATGGTGTTTTAAATCTACATTTCGGGTTTTAAAAAAATACAATGACAGTACCAGGAACATAAATTACTTCCAAATCCCGAAGGGTAATAATAAACATGTTGATATAAAACAGCGGTGCCAGATATGGATTTTTTTAATATGTGGATTACACCAAGTGTCTATATATTTTCAAAGTATTGATATATTTATAATATAGGAAAAGGCATGTAAATAAGTTACCGAAAAACAGTGTATAAATACTGCAAAGGCTAAGTTCTGGTAAATACAACCATTTTCCATATCCATCCTTAATCTTTGACAAATTTCACACTCAGATTAGTTTCCTACTTAAAAAGACAGCATAGAACGTCTTGTATTTATAACAATTAAATTGAAAAATATTCCTTTTTCATTTACTATAAAGATACTAGGATTAGCTGTGACGGCATTAGGTGCTTATATATTGTACATCAAGGATAAGAAGGTGCATGACGCTATAGACTTTTTCTTTGACCCATCAACATTGATGTGTACAGCTGGGTCAATCACTATAGTTGTTACATTGTTCGGCTGGCTTGGAGCACTGAGGGAATATACATGGTGCTTACGACTGGTATGTATCTTTGGTTCCCCTTTTCCTCACAACTGTATTGAAAGACCATCTCCAAAATACGACAACACATAAAAAACCTCTCATTTAGGACCAGCATAATTTTTCATATTTCAATATCAATTTCCAAAGTACATGGTTAATTTTCAACAAAGACCCATCTTCTTCATTGTGCGACAGGTTTTTATACAAGTATCATGTCTGGTTTACAAAAAGATGTTTTCTCAAAAGTTCAAATTTTATTACATATATCAGGTATGTTTGACCTTTATCGCTATTATGCATAATGCTTTTAAAAACGTTGCGGAGAGTTAACCTTTTATTTTTTCTGTACCAGCGTAACTGGATTCTAAAGTAACTACATGTCCATATTTTCTTTAAATTTACGGTAAAATAATAGCTTATCATTTAGTAATATGTATGTTTTTCTCACGCAGTATAACTGGATACTGACCATATTTTTACTTGGAGAGATCGTAATCGTGGTGTTTATTTTCGTCTTCTACTTTGTACCAAACGCTAAAGAAGAACTGGGTCTATTTCCGGCTAAAACATTCAAAAATGCCATCAAGAAGTATGGTATTGTAGAAGACGATGATATGAAAAACCTCATAGATAACATGCAGTCATCTGTAAGTTATTTTTTTTTCAGTTTGTTATTTTGCTTAAAGATATATTATGCTGAAATTGATATTTGAAAATACTTATAATTGATATTTATTATACAACTGCTATGGTGACTGCCCGATAACACTTGCCTGATAATTATATTTTAAATCAGGTTAGTATCCTGATATCAAAAATAAGCCTCGCCCATTTCAACGGACTTTTTTCTATAGATTATATTCTCATTTTTACATATCACTGTAGACCTATTGAATTCTTCAAATTCGTCCCTTTCTAGCCCATATCAGCCTCGCCTGGTAAATGGATATCAAAAGACAGTAGCATGCTTTTCTCTAAATTTACTCTCTTTTCAGATAGAACAAAATAAACATACATACATATTTAAACACTACGCGCTGTAGGTTAACGCAGTATGAATAAATAGAAAAACTTTCAGTGCTTTTAAAAAGGATTTTTATTGACATTAGAGTCGGTGATTTTTAAGGAAAGACCAAATTAACTTGAAATTAACTTGAAAAGTTATAGGAAATGCGTCTTTCCTTTCAAAACATAGTTTGTGCATTCTCTTATTCAAGTATATCTTTCAAGTATATAAACAATGTTCAACCTTATAAGTTATTTGGATACATTATAAAAAGAATAGACATATGAGCCGCGCCATGACAAAACCAACATAGTGCGTTTGCGACCAGCATGGATCAAGACCAGCTTGCGCATCCACGCAGTCTGATCAGGATCCATGCTGTTCGCTTACAAACCCTATATCAAGTAGAGAAACTGATAGCGAACAGCATGGATCCTGATCAGACTCCGCGGATGCGCTGGCTGGTCTGGGTCCATGCTGGTTGCAAACGCACTATGTTGGTTTTGTCGTGACGCGGCTCATTTTATCTGTATTGTAATATTAAAGAAATGAATATTGTCAGTTCACATACTGAAAGATAAATATACAATTTATTTTACAGTTAATCATGTACAACTTACCTATTGATTAAATTATTAATTTATTTCTATTTCAAGTGAGTCAACATGGCAACATCATAAAACTTATACCAAGCAAACATAAAATTTATGAATGTACAGATAGCAATGTTAAGAGCAGTATTAACAAAGGACTTACAATGAACATTTGTTTCCATTAGGTTACATAATACCATATTTACATACGCATGTACTTAATATACTGTTTGTACTTTTAACCACCTTAACAGCAGTATACATGTTACATTACGGTGTCCCGTTAGGGCCATAGTTTCTTGGCATCGTCGACCTCTGATAAACCAAAAAAAAGCCGAAGCGACGAAACGATACGCCGAAGCGACGAAACGATATGCCGAAGCGACGAGACGATACGCCGAAGCGCCAAAGCAAGGAGACGATGCCAAACTGCTAAATTACGGCCATCGTTTTTTTTGCATCTGCGAAATATTATAACCTTAAAACGCCGAAGTGATGCTTCAACGAGACGATACACCGAAGAGACGAGACGATTAGTCAAAGCGACGAGACGATACGACGAAGCGTATAAGGATTTTACACCGGCTGCGGTACATACCGGAATATCTAGATTGAAGGTAACTGTTTACGGTGTTGACTCATTTAAAGCGCGCTACATGTCTTTTTCTAACCCGGTGTACAAATTAGATAAAGCAAGATATAATAAGATGCGCTGAAGCGACGAAATAATAACGCAATTGCAAGATGGGAAGATGTGCCGAAGCGACGAAAAGATGCACGAAGCGACGAGACGTTACACATAAGCAATGAAACGATAAAATAATTAGATGCATCGGAGCGAGGGACGATACGATGGTACTATATTTACCAACTTTCGCGTGTTATTTATCATGTCCTCGCAAAATCATATTGCTACTTCGGCGTATTGTCTCGCGGTATTTTCTCGGTTAAACAAATAACATAAAAATTCATCTGATCTAGATTCCAAGTTAAGGGAATATTTTAACTTCCCTTTCATTTTAATAGAAATGTTAATTCTATTGAAAGTAATAGAACCGAGGCGAAGCGAAGATACGCCAAAGCGACAAGACAATGGAGTTTGTAGATTCAGGTAAATCAGAGGAAAGCGATGCGAAGAAACGATACCGTACAACATTCATTCAAATATTCAAATACTAGTACATTTGCTTTCAGAGCAATATATTATAATGTCATCAAACAGAAAAAGTGCATATACATGAATAGAAAAATGATATCATATAATAAGTGACTCTGCACGAATTGATTCTACATATAGATTTATCAATTAAAAAGCGAATTTTCAATATGTACGGTGTTTACATTCTGGTTCTATTTCCGATTTAAATTCAAATTGAAATTGAAAGTACTGGATATGAATAAAAGATAGAAAAAATATCCAATTAATTAAATGTAAATAATGTATATATACATGCTAAGTAAGCAGTAAGGTTTCGCTTAACAAAAAGTTTATATGTTCCAATATGAACTTATGATTGCACCAGGATTATAGAATTCGATTCTGTCAATATTGACAATCAGAATCGTCAAAAGAGTGCTATTGATAATAATTTTATTACAAAAGTTTGTGGTAATTCTACAAAATCTATTTCAAGTGTTACAATTTGAATGTAAGTAATCTAAATTAATACTTACTGTATGGATGATTCATGTGTCAAATACATAATACAAAAAAGGTTCAATATATGGAATAACTAATAACTTTTTTTTTGTTTGGCATCTTTTCAAATGCAAAATATTTCAATCGTCATAGAAAATGAAAATCTGTTGATTTAGAAAGTAAAATTAGAGAAGCATTATCTAAAAGCAACCACTTCTATATCAACACACTCAAGACATTTGAATAATTACTTATTTTAATAGTTATTATATAGATATAACAATCTTTGAAGTTGTCAATAAGTAGTCACAATTACAGATTAGTTTAGTGATATCAGCATAAATAAGCCGGAAATCTTTGCATCTTCTCTGCATTGAATATAAGAAAATAAAACCGTTTAATAGTATATTCAAGTATAAGTATTAATTGCTTATTGGAGAACCTAAATTAAGTAAAAGCATAGATATATAAAAGTAAATTGCACATTATTTATATATTTGTTATTATGTTTGTAGAAACTTTAAGTACAACTTATTAAATGTAGAAGATATTTTCGGGATTTCACTTTTTTCCAGATACGCTTTTCTTAGTTTTGTAGGTTAATTTCAAAACTATGGCTGTTTCCTACTTCTTCTTAAGTTAGATTAAGATGAAACAGGTAATAATCATCTTTAACTGATGTAAACATATTTGTCGTTGCTGTTGTTATATATAGATATTAGATATTATATATTATAACTTATACAAAGTTTAACTTAAATCGTTAATATATTTCAAACAGACGGTAAACTTTTGTTATGCCGGCTCGCCACGAATCTATCTAAAAATTTAATCGAAGCTTTGCTTCCAGCTTTCTACAAAATTTATCTGTCAGGGCTGGAATCCAAAATTATTTAGCCAATCAAATTTAATCTTACATAGCGTCAAAAAACCTTCAATTTTCACGCCATTTTTAAAAAGCAGCAAGTATTGCTTTGAGCGCAAAGATATAATGATGATTAAAATGTTTGTTTTCATGAATTCTTTTCAATAAATCATATTTACACTGACTTTTGATTTAGCGATTTCACCTGTTTTCTCTGTAGTAAGTTTTCGTTTGGTTAATTAACATAAGTGTACATCTGGTTCTGTGCATTTTTTTCTTTTTCTTTTTTTCCGGTCATTTTATCCTTTCCGGTATTTAGGGTGGGGGGAAAATCCCGGGATCCGGGACGCCCGGGATCCGGGATAGTATTAGATATATAGGGAAAAGGAATAAACTATATTTGTGTTGATTATTGTCGTTGAATCTTTGTACAGGAGATGATCATTATACCAAGCCCTCTTACAATATAGTACCCTTTTATGCTACTATGAGCAAGTTGTGCTCTGATGAGCATAAACAGGAATTTGGATCCCTATTCATCTGTTTTCCCTAATGTGTAATTTAGTTTCTCTTTAAATGATATCTATGCAACCAAAGACTGCATATTAACCACACCACAGCAGTCCTCTTTCATAGTTGTTCATATTGTTCTACACATAGGTCAAGGACACGTCTTATATAGAAACGCATACGCACACCTTTATACCTTATTAATGCCTTAACCTTAAATTTTTGGCATGTGGTATTGCCTTGTTGACCACTTTAAAATTTTGTTCATGTATCTACATCATATCCATTTGTTTAAAATGTTTCACTTACCAAGATGAAGTGGACATAAGTTTTATTAAAATGCTTAGGGAAAATATGTTTAAGTCTTATTGATATAAACTCAATGCCTTCAGCTTTAATATTGAAAATATACCAGTGCCTTGAGAACTTGTACAAACGAAATGTTAATCATGCCCTATGAATCTAAATTCGCCCACACCCAAGAGAGTTCTTCAGTAATATATTCCTGTATATGACTTGTGTCTGTCACTCATTCCAATACTAAATAACATATTACAACTTAACTTCGTATAAAGAGACATCTTTATGAATTCTATCTATCTAACATTTTATGGTCAAGGTCAACAGGCCATATAGTAAATGTGCATAAACACAGGGACTTCATTCTATCTGTTTGCATGCATCTTCATATATACTCATATTTCTCGTTGTTAAACTGAGAGAACTGGCTTCCATAACTTTACATGTCACTTTTATTTTGATGTTCGCTGAAGTCTCTTCAGCTCACAGAACTGTCATTTTTACATTTAAACACAGCCCTGGAAAAAAATTACGAAGCGAGTCGCTACTAGCTTTTTTAAAAGCTAACCTTGTCTCAAGAATAAGATAAGCTTTAGATTATTTTAAAACATAATCAGTTTTACATCTAATAACTTTATCAAATGTATTTTGCTTGAAGGAGCCGGCCATTTCGAATTTCATTTGTTAGCGGGTCATATAAACAAACACATATCTTTGTAGCTTATGATATACGTGCTTCCAAAGATAACAAATCAATCTATAATTATCCTATGTTAACAAAATAATGTATTGACGTCATTAAATTATACATTTTCATATTGCAGTTGGAATGCTGTGGGTTTAGCGATACAGACACCGGATTCCTAGATTGGAATGACAACGAATATTTCAAATGCAACAACACTGCGGCTTCAAAAAGCTCAACCAACCCGGAAGCATGCTCAGTGCCGCCCTCTTGTTGCAAATTAACACCGGTGTGTTCACAAAACTACTTTATCTTAAGTTTCATGGCATATTCCTTGCTGTTTTTCTCTCAAAGACGACATATTTTTTGGTTAATACTTGTTGTTTGCGGCCGTAAAAAGCTGTTGCTAGGTGTCGTGAATGGTGGCTTTCACTTTCCACTACCGTCCACGAGCAAGCCCAATTAAACCAAGCATGTGCAATATTTTCAGTTTTGCGGATTTGGGCGTTCTTTATGGAGTCATTTTCTCTCTTTTTATTTTGTGACTCTTTAGAAACCATTGTAAAAGGACCACAAGTCTTTTGAGCTTTTAAAAATTCTTGACCTTTGCAGGATTATATTTTGTATTTGAGATATTAACTATCTTATATTAGGTATTTGACTATTCAATGCTGAATTTTTAGATTGATTTCCTAGAGTTTACCGTTATCAGTTTGTTTACTTTTAGAGACCTGTACTCGCTATTTTTTTTTCTGCGAGGTAAAAACTATTTTATGTTACTCCTTGATTCCAGCACCTTTTATTTATTTTTTACTTATTTGCTGATGTTTCAGGGTGAAATGAAGAATGTACTTTGTGGTAGAAACGTTATGATACTGGATCAGGTAAGAGCTGTTTGCTGTAGTTAACAGTTGTTTATTTTTGTTTGGGTGGTGTTAGTATTTTTCACTCCGGATCAAAGGCAGTAAGTCACAATGCATTTACCCGATCACAGTTTAGCCGCCGCATCGTTCCTGGGCAGGCTGTCAAGCAGTTTTCAAGTACTAGTTGTCTTCACTTTCGCAAGGAACTGTTTTCTGTACATGACAGAGTAGATGTACAGTGCATATGACCGTTAAAAAGGATTTCAATCATAAGGAAAGTGGCATGCACCGTCCAGGAATCGGACCCGATTTTAGATTTATTGTCCAACACTTTACCTAGCTAACGGAACGGTGCCTGTATTTGTTTATTTGTTTTTGACCGAATATTTATTATATAGAAGAATTTCAAATCTTTCTAATGGAACAGAAGGCGACCATCCGATTTTAATTGCTTAAAGTGGATAAGTAATTTAACTACTTTCACACTTATATTGTATTAAATTTAGTAGCTTTTTACGATGAGCAGTGTGTAATGTGGTGCTACAAATTTTGCCATGAACAATGTATATAGAATTTGGTATTTTTCATAAATCGAGCGGACATTAGTGCATTTTTCATTATTAACACGTTTTTGATAGCTGACAAAATTTACTAGGGATTAAAAATCTTGAATTGAACACGGTAAATGAGGAATTTCAAAAATAGCAGTGCGGACATTGTGTTGCTTTAAATGACGAATTTACTGAACTTTGAATACAAAATTTGGTATTTTGTATTAATCGATAATTTACATGTTGTTCTTTTTTTTGGACAAAATTAATAAAATTTTAATGATAAAAATTTGTGTTTTTTTATGTACACATTTTGAATTTAACCCTGTAAATGCGGAGTTTTCTCCACATTTCTAGTTATCGAATTTTTGCTCACAAAACATGGACAAATTTTGTTCGAAATATTATAAACAATAAAAATAAAATCAATCGACATTGATTATTTAAATTGCAGACTGGCAAGCTTACTGAATCCAGCAGTCATAAACCTATATATAAACAAGGTTGTATGAAGTCTGTAGGTACATTTATAAACGACCATGCAATTACTATAGGCGGAGTTATGCTCGGCGTCTTACTTCCACAGGTTCATTTATTACATTATTTCTTATTTTACATTTTTTACATTTAACATTTATTACATTTTTCATTTTTTTTTGCATCTATTACATTTTTTATTTTTTATATTTCTTTAAAATATCCGTAAAACTTATTCTCATACCACAAGCTCGTGATATTTCGGCTCATTCCGCTACATTCCGTATCTTTTTAAGATTTCAAGTTTTTATAATATTTTTATCTTCATCGCTTCATTTTTACTTATTTCTGTTCGATTATATCAAAATCGTTTTATGTTTATGTATGTTCATATATAGAGATATCAAATAAACATAATGTCAATGGTGCTTAATATCTCTAGGAAAAAAGTATGCAAATAGATATATGTAAATTTTCTTGTCGGTAGATATCATTCATAAATAGTAAGAATATAAAATCCCTCATGTTAGATACCGCCGTGGAAGATAATGAAAATTTATAACGTCATTGGCTATTCTAAAATTCTTATGTTTATTCTTTTTTTTCAGATGTATTTTATGTACGTAGCTCGGACGCTACGAGAACAAATACTTCATCAGAAATCTAAATGGTGATATGGAACTAGCTATAATGTCATTTTTTTGTTCTTGCCTCTACATCCAAAATGAGTGTTCATTACTTTGCATTTACGTATGATGAACAATTAAATTGTGATTACATATCATAAGAATGAATATTTGCTACGGTCCTTACCCACGGATTTCTTTTGTTTTATTGCCGATATAAACAGCACGCGTTCAGACTTTTTGATGTTCAATTGTAAAATATAGTAATTTAACATAGGCGTGAGTCCTTTGACATAGCAAAGTATACATAATTTACGCAAACTAAATTAATGGGGTAGAAAAATATCGACAAAAAAGCAGTCAGTGAAATTTTGTATAAGATGGCCATTACATACATTTTTAAACAATAATACTATTTTAAAATTCTTTGCATAATCTTTTATTAAGTTTGAAAATTAGTTTACCTACCTGGTAGGCTGTTGATGATTCTGATCGATAGATAATCGACTTACCGTCCAATGTCAAAATGAAAGGACTCTACAAAAGACAGGATACGAACAAATCATAGCTGAACATAAAGAAAGACAACAAGAGCACTGTTCTATTCTTTTGATTAAAATCAGTTATTTCTCTTCTTCAGTATTCTAATAATATGACTAGGATATTGTTTGCATATCATTGTTAACTATTTGATTTACATTCAATTTAATAAAAAAACGAGTAAAAGAAATAAATATTTGTTTACAGAGTATTTACACTGTTAACCATGTTTTTTTGCAATCATTATGAGAGTATGCATGTCGATAAAGCAGTAAACGTGTTACACATATGTTACTTTGAAATAAGATATGTCAAACGGTAAGTACAATGTATAGAAATGATACGAGTAGAATCAAGTCAAAGGAACCAGATGAAGTTTGAAATAATCTCTCGTGTACAGTCACATTACATTAATTAAATACACCACAAATATCCTAGAGGAAAATATTGAATGTGTCGCATCACATAAACCATTGATAATAGTTAAATTCTACCATCATCACTTTGCGCCCTTGCACAAACCAGGGTCATCAACAACAACATCCACATGTATGAAGCAAGCTATATCAACAGCGAATACTTGTTGCCATGTTACCATGTACTAATGTATTGGCCGAGGATATTTTCGTTAACCTTATCTAGAGAATTTAGCTACATTATTAGTACTTTCTGAACAGCTTTAGAGAACCACAAAAATATACTTCAAACTCAATTTACAGATTGTTTAAATGGGGGCCCACTGAGGATTTTTGTCAAGACGGGACTCGAAACATTTTTATCCGAAATTTGTTAACTTTTTGAAAGAAAATCTGAACCAAGAACAATTTCTTTACAGTGTTTCATTTGATGTATGTAAGAAATTCAATTTTACGTTATAAGTTAGCTAAGCGCCAAGACTTTTCGGAGGCGTTTTTCATTTCAGTATGGTATCCAATGCACAAACCGTGATACTGTTTCTCTTTAGTTTTTACAATGGTCACGCTGCAATTTTGATAAATATGTAATTAGTGTTTAGCATAGTCTATGAGGTAGGCCATGTTTGTCAATGAAACTCTCGCTTAATTGTCCTGGTATTTAATCATATATGATAATTTGACTGATGAAACATAACCTGTAACAAAGCAAACTTTAATAGCCTCCAGTGTCCATCAATTCATTATTTATTTCTCTCCTTCATGATAAAGCTAGTAAATAACTACCTATAATGCTTGCTTCAAGTAGCTTTGACATTTCAATCAATTAAGACTTTGATAATTTAGTGTTGTACGGTAAATAAAGAATTAATAGACTGAATTTCCCCTATAAATTACCATGTTGTCGTGTTATTTCGCCATAAATAATGTTAAAACAATTACTCATTAAGTAACGAAATATGATATATGTTAGTCAGGACAACAGATGGCTGTATATCTTTCTTGAAATACTATTTTGAGAAATAAATAAATCTTATAACAGTAGAATGTTGCATTTTAGTCAGCATAGCTTTGTGCTGTAATATGTTGACCCCCACCCTCTCCCAAAAAAACAAAAACAACTATATTTTCCACTTTTTTCTATAAATATATATAACTGTTCAATATCTCTGGGTTTTAAGGTATCTTTGTCTTAAATTTGCCAATACTTTTTTAATTATAACAAATTTTGATTTTCAATCATAAGGGGTGTCATTCGTTTCCAAGGGATTTATATTGCCAATCCCAGCCAACCTTCCCTCATTCAAATTTTGCAAAGACTATTGCATATTTTTATAAAAGCTCGTTAGTTCAACTAACTATCAATGTATCTAAAAAGTCTGCAAATGCAAGGAAATTTGGTCATACGAATTTTTCTATCATATTTGATATAATACTAAAAATATTATTTTGAATCAATGAAACATGAAATACCTCGTATACCCTTAATAAACAAAGGTAGGAATAAAATCATTTAAACAAAATAATATTAATGACACTGGACACTAAATCAATTTTAAAAATAAATCTCAATTTTGGAAACAATCTTTTAAAAATTTGTTTGTACTCACAATTGTTCGATTTTTCAATTTAAGAGCATGCAGGGAAGTAAAAAATGCGGAAGATTTAATTACAATTTTCGATAAATATTCTTAAGAGAGTAATTTCAGCTAGAAAACCAAATTAAATGACTACATGCCAGTCAATTATAATTATATCGCTTTTTATCAAGTGAACATGACAGCAAAAATTTGGGCTAATGACATAATTACTTGAAAATTTCTTGTACAGCGATATTTTTTGTTAATTTATTCTATATTCAGGATAATAAAGAATGAATTTAATAATTGTTTTGAGCCTTGTGCGTTGTTGATATAAAACTTGATACTCAAAGGCGACTCAGGAATGTAAAGGTCGAAACAATAATATAGCCTCGCATTTCATTTGAATATGATGTATTACACACATTCCCTTACACAGTCGAATATAGAAGACTGTTAAATTGATAAATCATCAAATGAAATAAATAATAATGGAGAGTTGCATATTTAAAAAACCGTTTACTTGGTACATTCAAAATTTAGCAAAGCAAAGTCTAAATAAAGTTATAATCTTTTATCTTTTATATGTTGTGCCTTGAATACAACATCCTTATATCCTTTCGGCGGCCACCACCTTTTCAAGCATTTTCATAGACACCCCCTACCTCAAAGTGTCGCCTCTCAGTCCGTATAGGCAGTTACTGGCGATGTTTCAACCCTATGACATTCTGATTTAGTGGTGTGTGACATAAAAGCGCGCGTCAGAGCAGGACGTGACGACATGCGCAGGCTGTTATGGTGATGTATGCGCGGCTAATTTAAAAAAAAAAAAAAAAAAAAAAACAAAAAAAAAACCAAAAAAAAAAAAAAAAACCCGGAAGTATAAACGCAGTGCAGCTGTCTCCTACATGGTTAACTTTGTGTTTGTTCCCCACCTTGACCATTTATTTGTTCGAAAAATATAACATTTTGGCAGGAAAAGTCACGTGACACGCACCTGGTGAGAAACATGTGTTGGCGGTAGAATTCAAATTTCCAATTTTGTCAAATTCGCACGCAAACACGTCTTTAAATGGAAATAGCGGTGTTCGAAATTCGTCCTTGACCTTTATCACGTGACATCCTGTATTATGCCATGCATATGTTTCAATGTTGGAGCCTCATCCAAATTTGAGGAATTAATATGGAATCTACGGAAGCCCAAAAGTGCCACCTTCGCGAATACGTTTTATTACGTTACAGCTGCTGAAAGGATATACAATATCAAATAATGGCACAAACTTGCTTTTCTGAGGAATCTGTTAAATAGATTTTGTTATGCAAATAGTTGTATCCAGTGTAAAAAGGTTAAACTAAATTAAAATACTAAATGTTTTGACTTAATACCACATAATTATGGTACAAGCATGCAAGTCTTGAGAGTTTCGTGGGAGTCTAATGGCTTTATCTTACGATTCATTTGCGTGCCAATGACCTCTTACTTGTTGAAAACAACTGATCCAGCGTTATAGTTTTTACTTCGTATTCTTTATCCGTTAAGTGTCTCAGATAAAACTGTATGGATTTTATCAGAAGCAATTCTCATTTCTTTACTTTCAAATAATCCGTTTGCCATCTTCTTAATTTAAATTTATGAAAACAAAACTTCTATTCGGTCGATATCCATTGACATTTGGAAGATAGATAATAGTTTACTGCGGCTATTCATGCCATGATATGTTTTAACTATTGTAGGGGTCCATGATACGTGATAATTTTTTATTGTAATGGTTTACTATTGTAGGGGTTCATGATATTTGTTCACTATTGTAGAGTCATGATATATTTGTAAACTACTAAAGGGGTCTATGGTATTTATGTACATGTATATTGCATATGTTAGATATTTGTTTGCTATTGTAGTGGTCAATGATATTTGTAAACTTTTGTAGGGATCACTGATATTTGCTTACTTCTTTAGGGGACATTGAATATCTATTTTTATTGTAGGGGTTATGATGTTTGCTTACTATTGATACTTGTTAACTATTGTAGATGTGAATGATATTTGTTTAAAGTTGCAGCGGTCATTGATATCTGTTAACTTTAATATGGGTTCATGATATTTATTAACTATTGTAAGGTGGTTTGAACTATTGTAGGGAGTCTTGATATTTGCTCAGAATTGTAGGGTTTCATTAATATTGTTTGGTCCATGCTATTTTGAAAGAAAGAAAAAAAAGTTATTGACTTGCATCTTATTTGATTTGGTGGATTGGCAAATTTTAAGACAAGTGTTTAAAAATAATGTAAAAACAGCACAATAAATTATTAAAAAAATCTAAAAAGTAAAAAGACTAGCCAGATTTTCTGATATAAAAGAATGTAATTTTTTGGCCCACTAATGAATTCTTAATGTGTAATTTAAAAAAATTCATGTGACAAAAGATTTTTCTTAATTTGATTTCATGATTAAATCAAATTTTCACTAAAAAGTTTTTTTCATCGAGGCGATGGAAATGAAAAAATAAAGGAAAAAAAAAGACCACCTTTTTTGACAAAAAAACAACTAAAATATTGAAATGCAGGGTACATGTTCAAAAAAGTACATTTGAAGTTACGTAAAATTGTACTCCATTCCCGATATTTTATAATAAAATGAAACTTTGATGGAGAAAAATTTTTGATTGCTAGGAATTTTCGATGCTTTTAAAAAAAAGAACATAAAAATTTTAAAAATCCTATTTTTTAACAAAACGAGAAATTTCTTTTTAAAGGATATCAATTTTTTATAAAAATAATGCAAAAACACAATTTTTAAAAAAAAATTCAGCGAAAGTAAACATTTTCCCTACATATTTTTGTTTTTTTATGCAAATGATAAAAAAAGCTTCATCCGGGCTAAAAACAAAATTTCCTTTCGATAAAAAAGCAAAATAGTTTTTACTCAAAAAATGCTTAAAAACAACAAAATTTTAAAAAAAAAGAATAAATTTTTTAAAGTAGGCATTTAACGAATTACAAAGTGCCATTAAAAAGTTAGATTAGTCAATAGAAATATGAGGTTTCAAACACAAATTTCGCGGATGAATATCTTTTTTATCCAATGAAAATGTTCGGCTATTTACGTAAAGCTTAATCAATGAAATTGCTATTTTAGCTGTGTCGATTTCCGAATACTCTAGAGCGTAGTACATAAATAAATCTGACTGTCGAGTAGAGGAATATATACATGCC